CTGATCCTACGGGGATGCCTTCGGGGTGGCTTAGACCGTCGATCCTTGATATCATTCTTTTCGCTTCTCTTCGGTTCCCTTCTTTGCCACCTTCATTATGTTGCTGCCTAGTGTTTGTACGTCATTTGTATGTCATTCTAGACGTCATTTCTAGGCTATCCTAGCCTATAAATACGTCCTTCTTTTCTAGCAGATAGAATCAAGTCATTTTCCACTTTCCAAAGTCATCTCTACCTTCTTCCTTTGATCCTCAGGACTGTGGTTCTGCCTTCGTTTAGGCTATATCTGCTTATAGTCTATCCTACGACCTTTGACCTTCTACCTTTGTCTGGCACCGACTGACCTAGTCGGACTAAGGTTGATCCCACGGACTTAAGGGGCCACGATCTGCTTCGTGGTAGCTTTACCCTTTTAGTCCAACACTTCCCTAAAAGCGTAAGGGGCCTAGCTAAGTCCTTAAGAATTATTAAATTGTATATCTTTAGGAGGTATTGTCCCTTCTTTAATTATATATATATCTAGATTATATAAGATATCTTAGGGGGTATTAGTATTTTTAGGTTTTATTGATAATAAATTAGCGATATTTCTTAGCTATTTAGAGTAAGTTCTAAAAATATCCTATTTTACTAATTATTATATTATATATTTTTAATAATTATTCTTTAGGGAGATATTTATTTATATAATAGCGAAGGGCTAGATTAAGCTTAGAGTAATATAATATTATATTATTCTTTTTATTTTTTTATTTTAAATATTATTTTAGACTATCTAAATAAATATAAAACTTCCGTGTGTAGATCGGCTCTGTCATTGCCCAACTGCTTCCTCTTAGCATCAGTGACACAGTAATTTTACGTGAGTTGCGCTCGTTTCATGAAAAAAGAGCTCATCGTCAAGCTGTGGAGATTTAGTTCGTTCAAGTCTCTGGGCCTGATGCGCGGGGTAAGGGTAGCCGGTAGCCAGCGATATGCAGTCACTTACTGAATGTTGCTTGTGTGTAGTTTTCATCGAACCATGCAACATCAAAACTTGTAATGAGTCTGCATGTACTGCCTGGACCGAAAATTATGCCTGGACATACAAAGGACCGGTTCATACTCCGAAAGTAGGCTTGTCTCTTTGCTGGAGGCGAGGCCTTGCATGTAGGTATCAATTGGCACCAGTGGACAGGAGCAGTTCCATTGGATACCCTAGTAGTGCTGTGAACTCTCAGGAAACTGTGGGATCACGAAATTTTGCTTCGAATGCACCAATGGCAGTCAGCTTGAGCTTACCAGTACCCAATGCCCCATGTGACCTATGTGAGGCTTATCGTATAACTCTGTTGATCGACAGCAAGCGAGGCACACGTACACATAGTCCCATCTACAGGACGCCGGGTGGAATCGGGGCGCGATACGAATGAAGAGTAGCGAGAGTAGTGGAGCGATGGGGGTACCTCGCCGAATGGACCTACTACACCATGAAGAGACTACGCCAGATTGTATTTACCTAGTAGTCCACTGGGCATCTGAGTATCCGAGTACCTGAGTTGCGTAGATAGGGCAACGGTTGGCAATCAAAGGCCGAAGACCGACATATCGAAGCAGGCGCAATTGTGGCGCAAGCGTCGGAGGACGATCAAACAAATAAACAGGCCGAACATCATGTACGTTACTGCATTGTCAAGATCATATGTTTTATGACTTGACGGGTCATGTGCCTGCATGACGGCATGCCGGTCGATGCTATGGTCTGGCAAAGGCGGCTAGAAGAGTCTACGGCCATGATTCAAGGGGAAATCCGTTGAGATTGATTTCAAGTGCATGTCCTCGTGGAACATTGAAGATCGACGTCATTGAGGCACATGTGATGAGGCCAAGCGAAAGACCGCCTTGATGCCTTGCGCATTGAGCACAGGGAGCATAGATTACCCGAGGAGGGCAATTCATCTCACGTTGCCTTGTGTTTGCTTAGGTTGCCTGTGTTGCCTACATTGCCTAGCCCGTGGGACAGATAATAGTGACAACCCAATTGAACGGGTGATCCAGGGATGGTCGGGTGGGGGGAGATCAATGATCAAAAATCACCGATCACTGATCAAGGACCACTGATCCACGCTCCAATCGCCCAAACTAGACTTAGAAGGGAATGGTGGAAGCGATAGCACCCGGGTTGAAGGAGGGGAAGGAGAGGCTGAGGAGGGGCTGAGGACGGATCAGAGGGCCGGGATGGTGACCAAGTGACAAGTTGCGTTGAGGCCAGTCTTCACACAATTTCACCCTTCACGACCGATAACGTATTCCACCACCTTCCCGCCCACACCACCTTCCCGCCCACCCAACCAAATTTCGCGTCTCCGCGTATCCCCAACCACTTTGATCACCTACAATGCCACCAATTCGTTCTAAAACCAAGCAAGAATCTCTCCACCAAGAGGGTAGGATCGAGCTTGCAATACAAGCTATTCAGAAAAAATCAATTCCGTCTATTAGGGCTGCTGCGCAGACATATGACGTACCGCGTTCCACGCTACGCGACCGCCTCGCAGGCCACTCATTTCGGTCAACCAGACGCGCAACATCCTATAAAATGACCCAAACAGAAGAGGATACGCTTACCCAGTGGATCCTCTCTATGGATGCTCGCGGCGCAGCCCCTAGGCACTCTACGGTGGAAGATATGGCCAACTTATTGCTTGCAGCCCGCGGTGTTGATGCAATTGGCCTAAATTGGGTTACTCGATATATTAGCCGGACACCGGCCATTCAATCACGCTTCTCGCGTCGGTATGACTATCGACGTGCGGAACAAGAAGATCCCCGGATTATACGTGCATGGTTTCGCCTATTGCAAGAGACTATTTCGCGCTATGGTATCCAACCTGATGATATCTATAACTTTGACGAAACAGGCTTCGCAATGGGCCTTGTTTCTACCGCAAAGGTAGTCACCAGAGCTGAATACTATGGCCGTAGATTTGTTCTGCAGCCAGGCAATCGCGAATGGGTGACTACAATCGAAACAGTTAATGCTACGGGCTGGTCTTTACCGCCGATGATTATATTTAAAGGCAAACGTTTTATCGAATCCTGGTTCTGTGCCGATGTCCCTGGTGACTGGCGTATCGAGGTCAGCGACAATGGGTGGACTACTGATGCAATTGGTCTTCGATGGCTTGAAAAGCTATTTATTCCTTTAACAAATGGCCGGCGATGTGGGCGATACAGGCTATTAATTCTCGATGGTCATGGCAGCCACCTTACGCCCGAATTTGATCAACTATGCACGAAGAACGATATCATACCTCTTTGTATGCCTGCGCATAGCTCGCATCTATTACAGCCACTAGATGTTGGCTGTTTCGCTGTTCTAAAGCGATCATACAGTCGCTTAGTCGACCAGCAAATGCGTCTAGGAATCAACCTTATTGACAAGCTTGATTTTCTTACGGCATACCCACGCGCGCGCCAGGATACCTTCCAGGTTAATACTATTGTGAATGCCTTCAAAGCGACTGGTATTGTGCCGTTAGATCTAGAACCAGTGCTATCGAAGCTTAATGTTCTAATTCGGTCACCTACACCAAATGCGGAACGACCTACTAGCAAATCAAGCAATTATTGCCCTGAGACACCAAGGAATATTACCCAGCTATCGAAGCATGCTAAATCGGCTAAGAAGCTATTGAAATATCGGTCGGAAAGCCCACCAACACCTACCAAAGACATTATCAATCAAGCATATAAAGCATGCGAAACGGTAATGCAAAGTATGCTTCTATTAGAGAAGGAAGTCAGAGATCTACGCGCTGCGAACAAGAAGCAAATACAGAAAAGATCTCTATCCAAACGGCAGATAGAACGCGCTGAAGGTATGGCTATATCTGAAGCCCATGAGCAAGGCATTGGTCTATTAAGCAATATAGAAGATGACGGGGTGGTCTCTACAATGCCCACCCGGAAGGCTTTAACCACCAATAGTCAGACCAACAGACGTCAATATGCATGCAGCGTATGCAGAAGGCCTGGCCATAGGGCTAATTTCTGTACAGAGAAGGTTTAAATTGAATATAAAGGCGTTGTGGTTATTTAATTGCTTCATAAATATAGAAGTAGGTGGGTGGGTGGGCGGGAAGGTGGTGTGGGCGGGAAGGTGGTGGAATACGTTAACGATGACGCCAGAAACTTGAAATGCCAGGACCGAGGCCACGAGACACTGCTCATCCGAAGAGATTGGTCGGACGGGAGTCCACCGGTTGGGCGCGATTTGCGCAGCGGAGCCACTCAGCAGACTGCCCGCATCCTCATGGTGTCATGCGCCATGAACCAGTTGAACCAGTTAAACCAAGGTAAATCCCAGTTGAACCCACTTGAACCCAATCGCTGAGGCTGATCTCCGTGTCATCCTCAGATGACTTCTCTTGTGACTCTTATCTTCCCTTTGACCCTTTTTTGACTCATTCATAAACTGTCCAAGTTCCCCCTCTTTCCCGTCTTGATTTCCCCTTTTCCCTCCCCCCTCCGCCCCCCTTTTCCACCGCGGATTCTGACGAGGACTGCCAGAATTTGAATTTCCCGGACGTGACGCGCAGACCGCTAGGCGACCGGATTTCCCTAAGGCGCCCAATTTGCCCCCAATTGCCCAATACGACAACATTGACTCATTCGGCCATTGGCGCTTTTAACTCCGTTGCCACCTGAACTCCTGACAAATCTGTCCCTCATCCTGTTTGGGCAATTCGACTTCCATTGACTACGCTCGCCTTCCTCTTGTACATGGGTTTCAATTAAATACTCTTTGTCTCTTGCTCCATCTTGTTTCCCCCCCCAATCCCCCCAAGTTAACCCCCCAAACCCATCCCAACACTTCATATCACCCACCCCCAAATATCAAGTCTTCTACACGGTTTCACTCAATTTTCACAATACTTCGAAATCGGACTTTGTTATTCAATTCCACCTTCCCACTCGGGAATGACATCTGGTTTGCAGCCATTGAGTAACCATTCCGCAATGAATCGTCTTCCTGTTTCTAGCCTCATGTCACCCCCGGAGTCCAAGCCGCTGGAGAGCTTTCACCCGTATCCCAAGCGCGACTCGACTGTCATGGGTGACATCAAATTACCCCAATCTCTGCTGATCGCAAGCGAACACAGTCGGAGATGGATCTGCCCTCGCCACCCGTCACCCCGTACACAGGGAACAAGAAACGGCGATCTCATACCTCTGAACAGATTGAGCGGGATGCCGCCGTTGCTCGGGATCCTTTGCTCTTCCCCGCCATGACTCCACGGCTGCTGCCTCGGATGAGCCGCTGTTCGGTCCCATCCCCCCTCCAGCTGCTGAGGCGCTCGTCGCCCATCACATGAACTCGCACATGGCCAGGTTTGAGAATAAGCGGAACAAACCCACGCGCGATGAATACCTTCTCGCACTGTCATGTGTCCCCATCGTCTCCACCCAGTATAACCGCAACCCCGCGGCTTGGGCTCGAGAGGAACGGGATACACTGGAGCGCCAGTTGGTGTTGATGAATCGATACCGCCCCGGGGATCTGGAGGCCAAGCTGAAGAAGATCGCCCCAGCCCCCGCGAGACGAATCGGCGTGGCCCCTCCGCGTGTTCCTCGAATCCGAGTCAAGCGCACCCCTAAATCTACCCCCAAGCAGCATGCTCTGGACTCCTTTGACTCTCCACCCTCAGCCTCCAAGCCCCGTGCCCTCGGCACCAACCGGGATGATACAGACTTCCATGCACTCAAGGACTTCTCTCCTCCGCTCGACTCTCTCGGCGGCAATGCCAAGGCCTTGAAGGCTGACTGGAAGGGCCAGATGCTGGATTTGAGCAATGACCCGGACAGACACCTGCTCAGTCCCGCCGAGCTCAATTTGGCCTCCACCCTCCGATTGTCCTGTGCCACCTATTTGTGCAGCAAGCGTCGCATCTTCGAGGCTCGCGTGCGAGCTTTGGGTGTGGGCAAGGAGTTCCGCAAGACCGATGCCCAGCAGGCCTGTAAGATTGATGTCAACAAGGCCAGCAAGCTATGGACGGCCTACGAACGAGTGGGCTGGTTCAAGCCCGAATACTTCCAGCAATATGTCAGATGATTCACCCTCTTTGACTCTCATTCCATCCTAACCTCCCCACTCCTGTTCTGGAAGATCACCTCTGGCATTGCCAATCGTCTTCCTCTCTGACATCTCTATTCCCCCAATGCCGACAGTCTGGCCTCCTGATAGATCTGGACCTTGGAAATCTTCCCATTCGGGACAGATCTGTTTCCCTTCACACACTGGCGTACTGCCATCAGCTTACGACTAACTGACTGCGCTCGTCTCTTGGATCCAATCGACAAACGCAATATTAATCCTCAGTGATTTCAGCCTGGCAGTATCGACCCTTCAGGAACCAGGACCTACACATAAACCTCTTACAGCCATCTCGTTTCCATGATGTGCTTTTTCATGATTCGCCACGCATGATGACACAGTCTTTTTCTTTCATTCAACGGCTTTGGGTTTCATTTTGCTTTTGGCTTCCTCTCATCTCCCACTTTCGCAACACAGATTTTGCTATTGATTCGATGCATTGCCTTCCTCGTTGTTTGCGCCCTGGGGGGTTATTGACATTGGCGTTATGGCGTTACCTTTTCTTTCAATTCCCCATCTAGAATGGCAGGTTTGGGATATTGTGGTGTTTTATTCCTGACCTTTTCGTTGATTTGCTTTTTTTTTTGACCCCGACATTGTTTCCTGTGACCAGAGCAGCCGGGACGATATGATACCCTGACCTCATACAACTCCTTTGAATAATATGCCTATTGCAACATGATAATTTTTTGGAAAAAAAAGAGAAGTACCATAGCATAGTCGTAGCGTACAACGGCCATACCGCAGGTCGTAGGCTGCGAGCCGCGTCTTCATGGTTCGCCCGTGTGGGGCGGTGCTGTAATCCAGTGATCTATCTGTCTCCGCCCGGCGCCACCTTTTTCTGACGTCTCTCTCATTTCACCATTTCCATCCACCATCGCATTTTCAGACGCACTCGTCGCCATGTCACAGGCTGAGGCGACCCGCGCCGAGTCCATCGAAGAGCAAGAGCGCGACCGGGCTGCCGAGAAAAAGCCCAAGTCCCGGAGACCCGCCAGTAAGCATCCCCTGCCCGACCTTTTCTCCCTAGAGTCTGAGGACTCAAGACTGACGCGCTATCCTAGATACGGCCTTCCGTCAACAGCGATTGAAAGCCTGGCAGTGAGATAATTGATTTCGTTTATTCCGCCCTCTTCCCGCCCACTGACTCACGCTATAGACCGATCTTGACCCCTAAGAGTGTCTTGCCGTTATTCTTCATCGTCGGCATCCTCTTTGCTCCCATCGGCGGTGTCCTCCTTTGGGCAAGCGCCCAAGTATGCATGCTTCGTGTGGCGGGATTGACGAGATAGACGTGGCTAACTTCATCTAACAGGTTCAAGAGATTGTTATCGATTACACCCATTGCCAAACCGAGGCGCCTACGGGAAGCTTTGGAGATTTGTCAAAATACGTGTCCACAACCTGGAAGGCGAAGTCGGGCACGCCGCCTTCCTGGCAGAAGACATGGAACTCTACTGGTCAGAACTGGATTTGTACCCTGCAATTTAACATCCCCGAGTCGATGGGCCCCCCGGTATACTTGTATTACCGACTCACCAATTTCTACCAAAATCATCGCCGATATGTCCAGTCACTTGATCTAGACCAGTTGAAGGGCAAGCCGCTTAGCAACTCGACAATCGCGGACAGTTCGTGCACTCCTCTCGCGACCAGCGACTCTGGCAAGGCTATCTACCCATGTGGCCTCATCGCAAATTCAATGTTCAATGACACCATTGGTCAGCCCATTCTCACGGGAGATAGCTCCGAGACCTACAACATGACTACTAAGGGGATCGCCTGGCAAAGTGACAAGGATTTGATCAAGACAACCAAGTACAAGCCTGGAGAGGTCGACCCTCCGCCGAACTGGGTGGGATACAATTATACCGAAAGTATTCCTGATCTCCACGAGAATGAGGAGTTTATGGTTTGGATGAGAACCGCCGGGCTGCCGGCGTTCAGCAAGCTTTCCCGTAGGAACGACGACGACGCGATGAAGCCCGGGCGCTACGAGTTGAGCATCAACTACAGTATGTTGAAATCTCCATACTGTCACTTCAGTTCGGACTAACAATGGTCTAGGATTCAACGTGACTGAGTATGATGGAACAAAGTCGATCCTCCTATCGACCAGGACGGCTCTTGGTGGCAAGAACCCCTTTATGGGAATAGCCTATGTGGTTGTCGGCGGAGTCTGTGTTCTCCTCGGCGCCCTGTTCACAATCGCCCATTTGGTTCGACCCAGGTAAGATTCACATTTTGAGCCACCATCGGGATAGGCAGGGCTAATATCCTTTTAGAAAACTGGGCGATCACACCTATTTGACCTGGGATTCGACCAACCAGCCAAGTACCGCCACAACGACGGGCCGGGACGATCACATGCGCCCTGGGGCGTAATCGCAATAACAAAATGGTGGTTTTCCTTTGATTTATTTCTCTTTCTCAATTGTGTTTCAGTATCCTCTTATGTCAAGTCCCTTTAAACGGGCAAAGGCCGCTACTGTGAATAAATGGACCGTTCCGGATCGGGTGTTAAACAAGGAGTTGCATGTATCTAACATTTTCACAACAACGCGCATTCTTTCTGCTTCAACACTTGCTCCTCCCTCATAGTACACACTCTGGGCTGACCTCATCCCGCCGGTCGAAGAATCTGCCGGGCTTCTCAGAATACCCATGATTTGTCTGATTTCCTCCGTCCCGCAGGTTTCTTTCCCCGCCGATCATCTTTACCGTGTCGTCCCTTGCGTAGGACATGCATTCCATCGTGACGCAGCATTCCCCGGACTCATGGAATTGCCATGGTCTCGTGGGGGCTCGAAGCTCTGGTCATATAGCGAAGTGATCGCGGGGCGGACGAGGTTTTCGTTCATGGGCGCGACGGGGGAATCACGATACTAGGGCATCTCAACACCAACCATCATGGTCCGTCACTCTTTTGGTCCGCTCGTGGTTCTTCTCACAGCCCTACACATCTTGCAAGCTCAATGTACGCCTGTTGTGTTTCAGAAACGTGGTATCTGCGCTACCGAGGATCCGGATCCATCGTTCCTTAGCGCCCTTGACCTAGTCCAAGGTGACGAGACTCGGCCCAATGCCGGTTCTGAAGCGCGTCAGGGCCCTATCGAGATAGACACTTGGTTCCATATTGTGGCCAGTCAAGCTGAGTCAGGCCAGGTCAGCAATGATATGATCAATTCCCAGGTCGGTTCGAGTACACACGCATCTTGAGCGGTCCCATGTTAACCACCCTGCCAGATATCTATTTTACAAGACGCTTACGAAGACGCGTCCATTCACTTTAGACTGCAAGGAGTTACACGACATGTGAACGATGTTTGGGCTCGCAACGAGGACGAGGTCGCTATGAAAACAGCCCTCCGGCGAGGAAGCTACCGAACCCTGAACGTTTATTTCCAGACCGATCTTCAAGCATCTCCAGGGGATGCTGGCCGTGCGGATCACCGAGGTGCCCTTACTTCGAACGATCTTTCATCCAGTGTTCTGGGCTTTTGTACTTTGCCCGATCCGAGTGTCAATGCCACCAGTGCCCGTGCGGATTATATCAAGGATGGCTGCAATGTGCTAGCTAAGACGATGCCTGGGGGATCGTTAGATCTTTATAACCGGGGAGGAACTGCCATCCACGAGATTGGACACTGGAACGGCCTCCTGCATACTTTCCAGGGAGAGTCTTGCTCTTCGGACAATTTGGGCGACTATATCGCCGACACTGCACAGCAATCTACGCCCACCGACGGTTGTCCTGCCCGTAAGGATTCTTGCCCTGATTCCCCTGGACTGGATCCAGTTCATAACTTTATGGACTATTCTTCCGATGTCTGCTACGAGAGCTTTACGCCTGGCCAGACCCAACGTATGCGAAGAATGTGGGCGTCTATGCGGGAAGGAAAATAAGGGAGTCAAATCTTTTGTACATGCAAGCAGCGTGAGCCGGCTTTGCGAGAGGTCATTATGCCGAGGTTGGTATTCTACATGCCGGAGCATCAATTTGAGATGTGCGGCTTCATTTAGATTCGGTGGAAATTGAGAAGAATTATAAAAAGTACAGATCACATTTCCTCAGGGGATCTAGAGCTCCATGTTTCTTTACCTTCCCGATCCCTGCGATTGAAGTGAATTTCAAGACAAACCAACGGCGTAAAAGAGCCACAAACATGAAGAATTCCCCTTGACTCGAGAAGCAATTAGCGCTTGCGCTTTGTGCCCCGGTCATCCTCGTCCATTTTGGTCTCCTTGTCATGACGCTTCGCCTTCTTCTCCAGCTCATCCCAATCTTCGCCGCTTTCCTCATCCCCACTAAAGTCCTCTTCACTTGCGTCTGCGCTGGCGTCGTCATCAAATTCACTATCCTCCTCGGAGCTCTCGTCGGCTGCAGCCAGCTCCGAATCAGACAATTCAAAGGCGGACTCTTCTTCGTCTTCAGAACCTTCAGAATCCGATTCAGCAGCCAGGAACGACCAGCCACCATCGGTGAAGAATCCGTACGGATCACTTACAACTGTCTTCATGATAGTGGTCCAGTTCAGGTTGAGCGGACCTTCAGTGAAGGCAATATCAACCGAGTCAAGCCAGTCTTTGACACCCTCCAGAGCTTCGACGGGAATTGTATTGACATGCACTGGAGGTCGGTGGAAGTCTTTGAAAACAAAGACCAGATCGAAATTCTTCAGACCGAACTGAACTCGCTCCAGATGAGCAATCTCGATTTCGTTCAGAGTGATGACCATGAACGGGGGCTCAGTCAATTGAACGAGAGCATCCGTGGTAGGTTGAATCAAGACGTTGGAGCGGTTGGGAACACCGGTGAAACCAATCTCTCGGAAGGGGATGTCGACATCCACACCCTCGTCCTTGCCAGCGTCCGCAATCTTTTCGGCGAACGCCTTGAATTCGCGGTCAAGCGCAGCTCTTCGGCGTCTTTCCTCTTGCTCGGCCTCGAATTCTTCCTCGTCGCCATACCGGTGCTTGCGACGACGGTTTCCGGTCTCATCAAACTGCATTTCGGTGGCTTCACGGTAGAATTGCACATCTCTTGTCTTTCTCTTTCCAATCATTATGGGGGTCTTCAGATGCACATGGATGAGGACTATCAGCTCATGGGCACATGGCTGGAAAAAGAGATGCTTGACGTTGCTGAAGAGTACATCGACATGCTCGTTGCGGAAAGGTGACAAGTAGCGGAGACCATTTTGGTGTATCTCGACTTCTCCAGGAACACGCTTGCCATCCAGAGGAGGCCGAAGATACACGTCGGGGAGCTTCACAGGTCGACGGTCTATAAATTCACGTTAGCATGGATAAGGCCGTCTTCCAAAACCTTTGCAACTGACTTCTGATTTCAACGAGCTTGTCTTGCTCAATCACATCCTCCATCTCCTTCTTCTCTTGTTCCCGCCGCAGGGCAGTCTTGCGGAGTTCAGTGATATCCTGTGCGACCTGGGCCAGTCTGTCATTGTCCTTGGAGCGCAGTGTCAAGTTTCGAACGAAATGAGCCGACGGATCTTCAAAGGGCTGATCATCCTTTCGACCCACTCCTTGACCAGGAGAGAGGAAATTTATGCGAAGATAGGCATAGTCTCCTTCATCGCTTTTGCTGGCATTCTTGATCGTGTTGATGTGGAACGGTACTGGTCTTCCCATAACGGGTACAATGACGGTGGAAGCTTTGTGATCAACGTAGACGACAAGGTCTTTGACCTTGGCGGGCAATTGGTTGTCCCGTTTGTAGGACTCGAAGCGCTTGAACTTCTTCTGGGCAACACCATTGTCATCTCCTGTAGTGCCGGTAAATCTGTCTAGACCTTCCCTGGTCTTTTTCGAGGCCAATTCTTTCTGATGCTCACGACGGCGTGCTTCGGCACCTTCGTTGATCTGAGATGGTCTTTCGGCACGGAGTTTCGTCCGTGTGACATTTCGGCTAGCCACCGCACTCGACTTCGACTCTTTCTTCTCCTTCACTGGCTTCTCTGGCTCCTCGTCATCGCCGAAGTAAAAGGAGACCGAGTCCATGTCAATACCGGCGTCTTTCGTGAAGATGTGAGGTCCACTGTCTCCAACACGAACGGTATCGGTGATGACCATGGAGTAAACGTTACTTCCCTTTGAATCAGTATCCTTGACATCAGTCAGACCGACAGTGATTGACAGCGTCATGCCATTTTTCAGGACCCGGTTGTTCTTCGCGTTGAGGACCATGTTCGAATCACGCAACTCAATGCCAATTCCCGCACCAATGTTCTTGACCAGATGATTCTCAAGCTCGGGCTTCTTGGAACGGACCAGATTGAGTGCCTTGTTGTAAACATCCTTAGCCACCACCCCGTCGCGGATCTCTTTCATGACCACTTCATGAAGATTCAGCAGGAATGCATAATTTGCTTCTTGGGATTTGCTGGGGTCCACCAGATAGGTCCGCGCGATCAACGAGTTATAAGTCTTGTATCGGATACCAAAACTCGAGATAATGATGCCAGGTTCTAGATTTTTGCCGTCAGATGTGGCGGTCAGCTTCAGGTCGTAGGATCCTCCGCTCTGAACCACAGGTCCATAGGCCCAATCAATCTGTTCGGCATCAAACTCAGACGGTAGGCGCGCCAGCTTATTGAAGAATCTTGCATCATCAATCTTCGCATCGACCTTGGCTGCAAGAGCTTTGTGGGTCATCTGCTTTTCCTCGTCGAGCAAGCGGGACATTTCATCCACGAAATATTCGGACATGAGACCGCTGCAGGCCCTGGAAGCATTGCGAATCGACACCTATGTCTGCTGTCAACAATTTGCAGCTTGTCTTAAAGAAACAGCGAAGCTCACCAGTTCTTCGGGGTCCTTGATCGCAAAGGCAGCGGAAAGCGCAGGCGTAATGTCCACCTCCTCGACATCCTTTGAGATATCTCCAAATGCACGTTTCCAATCGTCGGCAAACGGTCCAGATGTGGTGTCTTTCGGAAGAGTGCCAACTTTCTTCTATGAGTTGGTGGTGAGCGAAATGATCATCTGAACGTACTCTATTTGCCAAAGGAATCACCTACTCCTGCACCCTTGATCACATCCAAGCATTTCTCGAAAGCCTTAGTCTTGGTCTCTGGGTCCTTTGTCGTCACCAGAAGCTCGACCGGGATTTTGCCACCTTTCAAGGGCTCAAGCAGCTCAGCTAAGAAGCGGGAAGTTTAGCATGTGATGTGTATGGCGAAAGAACTAGATCAAGTTACCTTTCTTAGCCGTAGTGACCACGTAGACCGCTTCGGTCGTAAAGACAAAGAGTGTGGCAGGGAATTCGTAACCGAGAAGCCAGAACTGCGGGCAAGGTGTGTTAGCATCACCGACATAGGTGAAGGGAAGCTGAAGAGAAAAGCCAGGCTAAGACAGCAGATGACTTACGTGCATGGCGTTGTTCTTTTGGAAGGAGCTTTCATCGGTCTTGGTCTTGCCCATGAGGATGACCATAGAGTCTGCGCCGCCGAACAGCGCATTCCCCGATCGTTTGTCGGCCTTCCATGATGCATAAAGGTTGGATAAGTGGTTGAAGAAATTGGTCTTGTCAATCGCGATCTTCTCGGCCATCTTGGGCGATCTGGTGCGAGCAAGGCCCGGTAGCAGCGAGACTTGGCGACACGGGCAACGGGCAACGGGCAACTGAGAGCTAGCCAGAAGGTCGAGATTACATGCGAGGAAAATCGAATCAGGAAAGTTGGTCAAACAACTGATCAAAGAGACTTGAAACGCGAAAGGGACTGGCGACTTGTTGAGAGATCGACCTTTTGGAGTAGACGCGAAAAGCGCGTTTTGAGTCGCAGCGGTTTCCCGTGCTCAGTTTGCCCTTTTACGGGTTAGCGTCTCCGCTCCGCTCCTTTGCACCCGCCTTTCCTTCAGCTTTAGCCCTTGACATTCATTTAGCTTCTGAACGGGTCTTTAGTTTCTGTGGCTGTGAGCATGTTTGGATCGGAACCTCATTTCTACTTTCTCTCCCTGTGACCAGACTGTTTCCCTTGTTCCCCGGCAACAAGCTGTCTTTACCATGGCCGCAACGGCCCGTCGATGAACTCCGAAATTTGCAATGAATCCTATCTTCCTCGAGCCGCATCTGATCGAACCGGGCCCCCGGAAAAAGTCTCGTAATGATGCTGCCACTGGGGCGTCCGCCGCTGGTGTTCGTGCCCTCAGTGCGCAGATGGTTGCCTTTTACTTTAGGGCGCCGATCAAAGCCTTTTTCCGCACCCGAGTCGAGTAGGTAGCTCCTCTTTCTCGAACCTCTGAGCCTTTCTCCGCTAACAACTAGAATAGTTACATGGTATGATTCTTTTAAACTCTGTAGGGTTTCGAGCCACTAATCACCGGCCCTCTTTGGACATGAACAGGCATTTGCAAGAGCTGTGAACCCGCGCGTTGCCGAGGGAAAATGGTCAATCCATACTACAACCCCAGGACTATTACTTCATGCCGTCCGGACATATGGCTGGCAATTTATACCGAACCAAGTCTTGCCTCCTCTCATAGCAAATGCTGCGTGAGTTATGGACTGTATCCTCTAACGAGACCATAAGAGCTAACTCTTAGTCCTTTTAACCGAAGAGTCGGCGCCGTTCTTTATACGTCCTATCTTCAAGTTCTAGGCGCTCTTCATGAACCTGTGTCTCAAGGAGCCAAGCGGATTTGGCCTCCCGCACCTCCCTCTTCTACTTTCACGGCTGGTTTCGCGGCTGGTACCATTCAATCTATCATTGCGGCCCCATTAGATGCGTTGCAGGTTCGACTGCAAACCAGCGACATGTTGGAGGGCCAGTATCGAAGTATGTGGCATTACGGTCACCATAAACTCAAACAAATCGGTCTGCGAGGCGTCTTCGCTGGCTGGAGCCTTTCTTTGATGCGCGACTCGCTCGGTTATGCCGTCTTCTTTTCTGCGTTTGAATACATCAAATCTCAGTCGTACTACTCTTTCATCACATGGTACTATGGATCCTTACACTCCACTCATCTGGATATGCTACCGTCATCCGGTTCCAGTGATCGTGGCGTCCCTCTCATCAAACCACATTACGCGCTGGAGCCGTGTTTCTTGATGACGGCCGGCGTGGTAGCATCGGTGGCACAGCAGGCCATCCAGCATCCATTGAGCAGAATCCAGGATCTATACTTGGGACGACTGGAATACCTTGACCACCAGGCGAGCCTGGACCACTCGCGAAAGCAGATGCTACGATTATACTACCATGCCTACCAGGAGACCTGGAAACGATGCGAACGCAAGGCCACGCGAGCTGGGGGTTGGCGAGCTTGGCTATTCCGCGGGTTTGCGAGCAGCGCCATTCGCCAAGTGCCTAGCACAAGTGCCGGCCTAGTGATCTTCGAACTTGTGCGCCGGCGATATGCGAGTCAAGACGATACTGTGCACATTCAAAAGGACGGATACGACATCCTTCTTTCCTAGGACATGCACTCATTCTCATATTTTCTACTTTGATTTCGCTGTTAGTCCGTGACCGGTGAGGGCGGTGAACATAGCTCGGTCACTGCCTCCACAGATGATACCCTATAGACCAGAAGCAGAATGCCCGATGCGGGATATCAGTGGGATGCTGGATCCCACAGACCACCTTGTATAGAATTGAGAGAACTTTGTGTAAAGTGTAATCTGATGATATTGTTTATTTACTGATATAAAATACTCCGACCGAATGCCGCAATACTCGTTATACTAATTATTTTGTGAAAAATAGTTCCGAAATGTCAGAGCTTCGGGGGATCTCTCCACTGTGGATCACTTCCCGGATTCGACATGATTCCTTGACGTAGGCTGGGAACCCCCCGTATTTGTCCCCTTCCCCTGTCCTCTTCTCTTGTCTCGCGATGGGACTCTTCACTACGTAACCCTTCATCCAATTTCAACTTAGTGATTTCCGTCATTCCCTTCTTCTCTTCTGTCTTGAAGGAAGGAGGAAATTTGACGAACCTCCCAAGCGCGCCAACCACCCTCCCTCTCCCCACCTGACCCTGAGCACCGGCGCTCCGTCATCCTGCGGCCGCGTGAGCTGTGTGACATCCGTGACCCCATAGAAAGTCCAAAAAGAAGGACAAAAACGCCGGGAAATAGTATTACTGCCAGTCGTGACCGCTCCTGGCTTGACTTCCCGAGTCAGAAGGGTTTCTTTCCCTCTGCCTGACCTGCCCGATTTGCCTAATCGTACAGAGGATCGACGTCGCATGTCTTTGGGCTGACTTCCAGCCCGCCGCCAACATTCCTTCTCTAACCTCCCCGCGTGCCATACCCCTCCGTTCACTCCCTAATCCCAATACGTCCCCCGTGCTGGAATCCGCCAGCGAGAAGGGAAGTCGACGATCGTCTCACACGTCTGCTCGCTCCGTCGAGTCGGACTTCTCGATCTGGTCGGACACCGGTGATCTTGCCGAGCAGCTCGCCGAGGACCCGCTTCAGTCCCGCGTTTACAATTCCTCAAGTCGAGGACTCTCAGGCTCCCAGAAGAAACGTTCAAAGCGGGTCCATTATCCGGAGGAGCTAGACCACGACTCGCAGTCGGGTATACAAGACGAGAAACAGAAAATCAAAATCCCGAGACCGGCCCCACGGCGTGTATCTAGAGCAGAGCTTTTCCTGGCCGCCATCATGTCCCCTGGCAATCGGCAGAATGCCCATATCCATGGCTTGGTGGGAAAGCCGTTGCTGTAAGTATCATCTCCGTACCTTCTGGACGCAGTTCGCTGATGAAGGCCTCATAGCTACTTCACCAGTGTATTTGTATCACTAGGCGTTTTTCTCTTCGGCTATGATCAAGGCGTCATGTCTGGCATTATAACGTCTGTCTTTCCCAAGTCTACCCCCCAACCGACAAATTACCAAGCGTTTATGACCGTCTATACTAATGTATGGGCAGTGGATCGTACTTTCGTGATTACTTTGGCCAACCGTCTCGGGCCACGATTGGCACTGTGGTGGCTATCTTGGAAATTGGTGCCTTCGTCTCCTCGCTCCTTGTTGGGCGTATCGGTGATTTGATTGGCCGCCGAAGAACCATTCTTTACGGGTCTATCGTGTTCTTCATCGGCGGTGCTCTTCAGGCATTTGCAACCAGCATGACTTTCATGATGGTGGGTCGCATCATTGCCGGCCTAGGTGTCGGTGCTCTATCGACCATTGTGCCCGTTTATCAGTCCGAGATTTCGGTAAGATATCATGCTGCTGCCTCTCAGCGAGCGCTAGTTTCCTCGGTATATTCTCTTGAGCGGATGTGCTGACGAGTTTGATAGCCCCCCCACAACAGAGGCAAGTTGGCTTGCATAGAATTCACAGGTAATATCTCTGGATATGCAACCAGTGTATGGGTAGACTACTTTTGTAGTTATATCGAGTCTGATTACTCTTGGCGTTTGCCCTTACTCTGTCAATGCATTATGGGTGCGTTACTCGGTATGGGGAGCTTGATCATTTGCGAGTCGCCGAGGTAAGATCTAGAAGCCTGAAGCATCTGCTGTTTTAACAATCTTCGTTCTAGATGGCTCCTGGATAACGACCATGACGAAGAAGGCATGGTGGTAATTGCCAATCTCTACGGCGAGGGAGATATACACAACGACCTGGCCCGCCAGGAATACCGTGATATCAAAATGAATGTCCTGCTGCAACGACAAGAAGGTGAACGGTCCTATTCCGATATGTTCAGACGCTACTCCAAGCGGGTCTTCATTGCTATGTCAGCTCAGGCATTGGCCCAACTGAACGGAATCAATGTCATTTCGTACTATGCGCCCCTGGTCTTTGAATCTGCCGGCTGGGCTGGTCGATCTGCAATTCTGATGACCGGAATCAACGGCATTTCCTATCTGCTGTCTACCATTCCTCCCTGGTACCTCGTTGATAACTGGGGTCGACGTCCTATCCTTCTATCCGGAGCCGTTGCTATGATGATATCCCTTTCCATGATCTCTTACTTTATCTACATCGAGATCCCAGCCACACCGACATTGACTGTCATCTTTGTCATGCTCTACAATGCTGCGTTTGGAGCCTCCTGGGGCCCGATTCCCTGGCTTTACCCGCCGGAGATTTTGCCCTTGAGTATTCGCGCGAAGGGAGCGAGTCTGAGTACAGCCTCCAATTGGGCGTTTAACTGGCTTGTTGGAGAGGTGACCCCCGTCTTGCAGGGCGCCATCAAGTGGCGACTATACTTAGTACACGCCTTTTTTTGCGCGTGCAGCTTTGTGCTTGGTAAGGTATCTCGTTTGATGTGTGCTATTCGTATCTAATTTCTTAACTCATAGTTTATTTCTTATATCCCGAGACTAGCGGTGTCCGGCTAGAGGATATGAATGTTTTATTTGGAGACGCATCGACCGCTATGCCGACCCCTGCCACAGAAGGGGAGCGAGGCTCTCTTATGGGCGCTGGCTCGCCCGTTCCTTCGCTGGATATTCGTCGGGGTTATGGGCAATTCGGCGCCGAAAGCGCCATCCCGGGACTAGATATCGACCCACCGATATTAAGCAGCAGTGGTCCTAGCAAATCTGCTCGACGGGACTCACAGACCGGTGGTACTCGAACAGAGGGTATCGGTGGCTGGATTTCGAACATGGTCAAACGCCACCGAGGGCCGAGTGTTGGTAGCAGCCAGAGTCAATACAGACGTCTTAATCAAGGCGAGGAAGGAGATAGGACATAGGAAGAGCACGCCCACCTCCCTTGTCGCTCCCGTTCTTCCTTTGTCTCGGGTTCAAGTTTGTGTGGGATGCCATTTTCCTCGAGGACTCCTTCAACGTTACATATCCCTACTTTTGACCTGTACATTCGATGATTCTGTCTGTTTTGCAGCCCATTGGGCGGCTTATTGTCATTTGTTTTGCTTGATCCATCATCTGGTACATTCGATAGAGGAAACGAAGAGGACCCGGAGCCTCTCTTTAACGCCTTCGCATGTATAGTTGCTGTAAATTACTATGTTGGCAATATGGGCAAATTCTCGAATGGCCATGAATAATGAATAATGAATCAAATGAAGCCGAGCGATGCAAACACATCCTAAGTCTAAGAAGATAGTAACATATTACCGGAAAGGGGGCTGATGTTACTATAACCGGGCGCGGCCACGTTCGCCCGAAAACGGCCCCCTCTCCAAAGCGGAACTGTTGATTCTGGCCAGCTCGGCATCTTTTCTCCTTCTTCATCTTTTCCTTTCCCCTTTTCTCCATCTGGTCTTTTCGGCTTTTCTTCATTGTGGCCTCTGTGGCCGCTATGATTCTTTGATTTAATTCTTTTCACTTTCCTGACGAATTACTCTCCTCAATCCAACCTTGAAACCTTCCCTCGTTTACAAACACCATGGCGGACATCAACACGGCCACCACTACTGGGGCCAGACCTGATGCCGACCTCCGTCGGAGAAACGTTGCCGAGATTGGAAAGCATCAGGCGCACTCGCGAATTGTTGAGCACGATGTGAAAAAGACCCGCTCAACGCAGGTAAGGGCATCCTCCGTGTCCATTCGATTGATTGTGACTTATAAGCCATGCTAACGTCTCTGGTCTCTTTTTGTGGTATAGTCCCCCTCTTCCTTCACGTCCTCGCTGGCTGGGAACCGACAATCGCTCCCATCATCTTGACGGCTCTTTCGCTTTTTACTCGATTATATCGCATCGGTCGCTCCAACATTGTGACGTGGGACGAAGCTCAGTAAGCTGCCCTCGCGCCATCACAACGCCAATTGAAACAGGCTGACCCAATTTAGCTTCGGTAAATTTGGTTCTCACTATTTGAAGCGCGAATTCTACTTCGATGTGCATCCTCCCCTGGGGAAGATGTTGGTTGGCCTTTCGGGCTACCTTGCCGGCTACAACGGATCCTTTGAGTTCAAGTCCGGGGAGAAGTATCCCGAGGATGTGAACTATACCTTTATGCGCGCCTTCAATGCCTTCTTTGGCGTAGTCTGTGTCCCTCTTGCCTACTACACTGCTCGTGACTTGAATTTCCGCAGGGCCACGGTCTGGCTGATCAGCTTGATGGTCCTGTTTGAGAACTCCTACGCGACCATTTCTCGCTTTATCCTGCTGGATTCCATGCTTCTGTGCTTCACTTTTACAACGACGCTGTGCTGGGCGCGATTCCACCGCCTTCAGAATGCTAGCTTCTCAATGGAATGGTATGCATGGCTTTGCCTGACTGGACTGAGCATTGGCTGTGTTTGCAGCGTCAAGTGGGTGGGCTTCTTCTGCACCGCAATCGTGGGTCTCTACACCATCGAGGATCTGTGGAATAAATTTGGTGACATCAAGATGCCGCAAGTGAGTACGAACCGAGCCTTGACAAATACGTTTAACTGACTGGAGGTTCACCAGACTGTGCTTGCTAAACACCTGATCGCTCGCGTGGGTGGCTTGATTGTCATTCCGCTTCTGGTGTATATGTTCTCGTTCTACCTTCATTTCCTTATTCTTGCGAACAGTGGGCCCGGAGATGCCCAAATGAGCTCACTTTTCCAGGCGAACCTGCGTGGCACCGAGGTCGGCAGAGATAGCCCCCTTGAGATCGCCCTTGGATCGCGAGTCACTCTGAAAAATATGGGCTACGGAGGCGGTCTCCTTCACTCGCATGTCCAGACGTACCCAGAGGGATCGAATCAGCAGCAAGTCACATGCTACCACCACAAGGATGCCAACAATGACTGGTTCATCTACCCCAACCGTAACGAGCCTGACTTCGATAGCGAGGCCGACTTGAAATTTATCGGTGACGGAGATGTGATTCGCCTCATTCACGGACAGACTGGCCGCAACCTGCATTCTCACGCCATTCCTGCGCCAGTTTCCAAATCTCATTATGAAGTTTCAAGCTACGGCAACATCACCATTGGTGATGAAAAAGATCACTGGAAGATCGAGGTTGTAGATGATGCCGCGTCCCGGGATCACTCGAAGATTCGCACCCTTACTACTGCATTCCGGCTTCGACACCCATCGCTCGGCTGCTATCTGCGGGCTGGAAACGTCAACTTGCCTCAATGGGGCTTCAAGCAAATCGAAACAACCTGCGTTAAGGAGAACAAGGCAAATGATGTGTACACTCACTGGAATGTTGAGTCTCACACCAATGAGCGCCGTAAGTTTCCGATCATTTTCCCCGTCCCCCCCTTTACTTTTGGATATTCCCTTAACAGATTATACGCAGTGCCTCCTGGCGACCCTGGCTCTTACAAGTCACCTTTCTTGAAAGATTTCATCCACTTGAACGTTGCTATGATGACATCCAACAACGCTCTGGTTCCTGATCCGGACAAGCAGGATGACCTGGCTTCGGCATTCTGGCAGTGGCCCATTCTGAATGTCGGCTTGCGGATGTGCTCCTGGGATGACAGCGTGGTAAAATACTACCTGCTTGGAAACCCTCTCGTCTACTGGGGAAGCTCGGCGAGTATTGTCGCTTTCGGCATTGGATTCCTGTGGTATCTTCTGCGATGGCAGAGAGGCTATCAGGAGCTGAGCAAGGCAGACATTGATCATATTCACTACTCTGGGCTCTATCCTCTCATTGGCTGGGTGTTGCACTACCTGCCATTCATCATCATGGCCCGAGTGACCTACGTCCACCACTACTACCCGGCCCTCTATTATGCCATCCTCACATTTGGTTTCAGTGTTGACTGGGTCACCCGGAGCATCAACGCTCGGGTCCGAGCCGTCATTTATGCCGTCCTCTATACGATGATTATTGGGCTGTTCGTCCACTTCCGAGATATTGTATTTGGAATGGAGGGCTCCAACCAGCAATGGTCTCACCTGCGTTGGCTGCCCGGCTGGAAAATTTCGAACTAATCAGCATGTTCGAGAAGGGAAGGAGGGGGGGGCGCGGGTGCGTGAAATTTGTTCTTTGTGTATTGACGGTGCAGGTATCTTATTCGTGTCTGTCCAACTTTCTGTTTAACGGAACGGCCCTGCGAGAGTGCAAGGAGCCCCAAAAACGTCCGAACTATAATGATGATCATTTCATCTCGATAAACTATGCATTATTGTAAATTGAATCGAGTTCTTCATTATAGATTGTCTTCACTGCTGTACTTCTCAGACAGCTTTTCCAGCCCGAGGCTTGTGCCGTGCCGTATTGTCCGTTAGCAACACCCTCCAGACCAGCCACCGCCCTTGCGCATCGCATCGTCCATGCCCAGTGTGACGGTTCTCGGGACCCCAGTGTTGGCACCTCCAGAGGCTCCAAACCCTTTGACTCCGCTGCGGCGGTCATTGAGGTCGTACCTGCCGGCTTCAATATTGCGGTATATCCTCTCGGCGACTTCGAGAAAAGCTCGCTCAACGCCATCTCCAGACTTGGCACTCGTCTCAACATATCGCACAACGTTATTCAGGCGGCACCATTCTTCGGCCTCTTCCTCGGTGACCTGTCTCTGGTTAGATCCGGATTCTCGTCCGGCTAAGTCTGTCTTATTTCCAACTAAAATCACCACGATGCCCTCCTCCGCGATCTGACGCAGATCCTGGAGCCACTGCGTACACGATACGAAGGTTGATCGCCTAGAGATGTCGAAGACGAGGAGCGCACCGGAGGCGCCGCGGAAGTAGGAGCGGGTAATCGACTTGTAGGTTTCCTGGCCAGCAGTATCCCAGAGAGAGAGTTTCATCCGTTTCTGGATGGACGAGTCCTGTGGCTTTCGCGGTGGGCTAGGGAGGCCGGAGGCAGTAGACTCTTCGGGGGGTTCGCCGGGAGGTCTGGGAGAACTGCGAGAAAACTCATCCAGACCCAACTCCAACGAAGCAGGGGGCCCCACGGGTACGATCCTCGATCCAAACTCAACCCCAATAGTAACATCGTGAGAAGGGGAAAAGCGGCCTTCACAGAGGCGGATGGTGAGCTGTTGGAATTAGTGGCCACGATCGAACTGAACAGGTGGGAGGAAGCTTACGCTAGACTTCCCGGTGCCTGAGTCACCGATACAGACAAGCTTAGCGATGTAATCCCATGGCTGTGACATGGAGAGGGTCGTTCTTCCGAAGGAATAGAGAGCTATGGTTTTTGGAGAGCTCAAGGTAGATAGTTATCGGATAGGACATGCTGAGTCATCTATCGGGGCCATGGTGACCTGCCCAGATGACGCTTGCACCTGCGTGACTTTCCTGAAGCTCTTTATCTCTCTCTTCTTCTTTCCAAATAACATCTTCACCGTTTTCTCACCTTTTCTTTCTCCCATTAACAATCGAATGCCGCCCAATTTCAGCAAAGGGCGACTCCTCCTATCCTTCTATCCCGGTCTCCACCGTAGTGGGCCATGTTCTCGGAATGTATGTATCATGTCCTGACTTGGGTTCGTGGAAACTGACCACACTCAGATGCCTCACGCTTCCTCGCTCAGTCACAGTCACGACTAGCCTCTCGTCCAGATGAGATCCAAAGGACCGGCCGTGCTCATCCCAACCAGCGTCAGAGCACCAGGAACCCATCCTCCCGCTCTTTCATGAGAAGCGGCGATCCATATCGGCCTGGGACATCCCAGATCTCCAATTTCCCATTTGCCTCACGAGCTTCAGCACAACCAGCGCCTTTGTTCTACAGCGCCACCGATGAGTTTCGAGAAGAAGACGATGAGACTGAGAGGGAGCGCGAGGTTGCTGACTTCTATGCGCTACAACGATCAAGACGACAGTTTGGTGACAGCAATCTCAAGGACTCCTCAGAACTAGAAGATTCCTCTGAACACTTGGCTGGCTACCACGAGGAAGATTCTCCATACGACGATCGCCCAGGTAATGGGAAAGGGATCAAGAGTTCTTGGCGTGGAGAAAAAGGAGCACCTGTCTCGCATCACTCTCGCATTGAGACTCTAGCAGAAGTGGTGGAGCATGAACCTGGGCCAGTCGCAGATTCGGAAAGAAGCAGGTTTCGAGGTAAATTAGTCGATATCGGCCTGGAGGATTCCCCAGGAGATGTTCCCGAGGATGAGGAGCTTTTGCCGTCAGAAAATGTCGGTAATGACCCGCCTATTCAGCGCTTTCGTGATAGACCTCCAACTCAAGAGGATCTTTTCAATTTCAACTCATCCAGCTCTCCTGCTGACCAGACCAAACCGTTCACCTCCGAGATGGCTCGACCGTCAAGTTCGGCCGGCTCCTTCCCTGCCTCTATCGCGCCGCTTGCTTCAGAAATCTCTGTGCATGACATCTTCTGGGGACAGCTGTTGCTTATATTGCTCGTTGGGCTGTTTGCCACATCTTTTCTTGTCTGGTTGCATACATCTACCCCATCCGGCGACGAGGGCAAATGGGGTGATACAATCTACCTGACTGTGCATGGTTCCTTCTTCCTTCTTGGGATATACACGCTGGTATCAGTTCTCGTATCTCTCCTCTGGCTGGCTTTACTTCGATCCTACGTACGCCTCTTAGTCTACGTGATTATCGTCGCCGTTCCCACCATCCTGTTCTCCTTCTCAATGTATCCCTTCGTGTCGAGCTTCAAGGGTGCATGGCATGGCGATAGTGTTCAGGACAAGGCGATGCGCTGGGGTTCTCTTATCCCATTACTCATGGCCGGCCTATGGACTTACAATGTCGCTCGGAGTCGTCGATCGATCGGAAAGGCGATTGGCGTTCTTGAATTTGCGTGCCGAATTCTAGCCGCGAACCCTGAGTTGCTGGCCCTCGGACTGGGTGTCCTTGTCTGCGTGGTATCATGGACCTGGATCTGGATGCTTATGTTCACTCGGGTCTTCCTGGGTGGTCACCTTGCCGGGCCGCGGTCCTTCATCATCGATCTGAGCAGCTGGTGGCTCGGAGTCTATTTCGTCGTGATCTACCTGTGGTCCATCGGAGTGATTGCTGGTGTGCAGCGTGCCGTTACAGCTGCCACAGTGAGTCAATGGTATTTCCATCGCCTGGCGAGTCCAGCACCCACATCCCGGCAGATCGTTCAGGCTGCTATCGTCCATGCTACCACCACCTTGTTCGGCACGATCTGTCTGTCTCGTCTCCTCAGTCTGTTAATTCGGCTCCCTTTGATTGTACTTCCTACCCGTCTATCTTCATTGCTCGGCCTCTTTGCGTACTCTCTGATCCCGACACCCATTGCCTTTTTGACGAACCCTCTCTCCCTCACCTACGCGGCTATTCATTCCCAGCCTTTGTCTGCCTCTGCGCGGGGGCTGAGTCAGATGAATCTTCTTGCCCCATCGGCAGCCTCGACGTCGTTGCATCCTCGGGCATATTCTCGCTCTCCCGGGGCTTCCGCATCTCTGCTTTCCTATCGACTTTCGAAGTTGATTCTCCACGCCACGCGCTTGATCATGTCTTTGGCTTTGGGCTTCGGTGGCTGGGTCACCACGGCTCGGAGCTTGACCACCGCCGTCCCTGGCGGTACGATTCGGGGCAGCTTGTATGCCTACGTGGTTGGACTGTTAGCCGGTGCCATTGGTTGGAGTATTTTAGGTGCTATGGAAAGCGTCATTGCAGATATTGTGGATGCCTCTGTGATTTGTTGGGCTAGCGAAGTTGGCATTTATGGCCGGGAAGCCCGCTACTGCCGCGAGGCTGGTTGGCTCTTTGGCGAGTCCAACTCGGACTTCCGACCTGAGTATGGAGAAGTTTAGTTTCATCTTGTTGCCCCTTGTGTTACCTGAGGGACGGTTTCCCCGTCCTTTCATTATTATGTTCATGACCTTCTCCTGCAGTCTAGTATAGTTTGAGCGGATATCATATAGCGATTGATCTTAGCGACACCGACTTAACGGCTTTGAAAAATGGCATTCCTCATTTCACTTCTTGTTCGCAATCTCTAGTCCTCCGGCACAAAACACAATGCAGACGAGTAAGAAGTCGTATGGGTTGACCGTGGTATATTCAAACGTCGAATAGCTACACATCAGAAAAATAAATCCAGAGCTCGTGGTATCATGGCGGGAAAGAAAAGCAATATCACTTCGAAATGCAAAGCAAGAATGAGGAAGCGTCCGTGGAACGCTGGATGAGTTCAATCACTCATTAAAGAGACAAGCGCCGCTTCCATTCCACATCTTGCTGCGTGCACCACTCCTTGAGCATTGAATAGCCGAAACGCACCACTTCGATCGGTGGTGTCGAGCCACCAAGAGGAACAAAATAATCACCCGCGTAGTCTCCAGCTTTGAGAGGAATTTTGCCTCGCTCTGCATGATTGTGAGACCGATGAGACCAGGTGATGGGAAATTCCTGATGTAGAACGTCCTCGCAGAGAGCCCGTGTCCCCTCCAGCCAGAGCTTCTGCGATTCTCGGTGGCACTCGAGAAGGCGATTTCTGAGCTCAAGGAATTCTTTGCGGCTTTTCTTGTTCTCGTCCGATAGGATGGTATTGCCATCGCTGCCGGGTGTGGGTACTGGTGTATGCTCGCCCGGTAAGGGGCTAACTGCAAGACGTTCGAGATCGAGCGAATGTATGGAATCATACGAAACTGCACCCAAAAGAAGACAGAGACCGTGAAGGACGGGATAAGGGGCGCTGTAATTGCGGACCACTCGCCAGTATGCCAGAATGGACACCCATGCAGAAGAATCACCGCCCTGTCGTACGAGAGCTTTCGATTGATCGTCGGCCACAAAGGCAAGGATGAAACACATGATGGCCTCGATTGCAGTCACCAAGGCCAGCTTCTCATCCGCGGCCGAGGCTCCGCTCTTGGTCCTAGACCTTTCGGATGCATGTTTCAATTCTCGGCCAGTATTGCTGAATTTCTGGAATTCATCCCGCCAGGCTCGACGCTCGTTGTTGCGGAGTCGGTTGTCGGGCTGGGGAGGCGATTCCTTCGACCCCGGATCAACCGAGTGCCGTTTGTTCGCCGGATTCACGGGTGTCTTGCCGCCAGCCTCCCAAGGGTCAGCTCGGTGTGAAACGAGTGCTTTTGAGTCCTTCACTGGCGTCAATATGGTAGGCTTGACTTTGTCGGTTTTAGATGGGAAAGTATTAGACGCTGGTGTGTAAGTCTTTTCGACAGACGTTTTGCGTTCCTTGAGACTGCCACCTGTAGGACCGAGCGGTACTGGGGGCTCATGTGTGACTCTTGTTCTCGGTCTATCAGATGTAGCAGTGACTCGAGATGAGCCGATCTCTCTCTTCATACCAGGATGGGTTGCGTCTTCATGATCCGTATCTTGACCAGGCGGCGAAGCGGATCGAGATGATTTCCTTTTACCGGAAAATTTGAGAAGGCCTTCGACCCGGCGGCGATTCGCCTTGCCATACCGCAGTTTGACAATGCAACGTGGCTTTGAGGAAGGTGGCTCTTTCAATGAAGCTCCAGCGCGGTGACTTGGGAAATTTGGAATGCTGCCACTGTTCGTGGAGTTCGGGGTTCGAGAATGCGCTGCATCATCTGCCTTTAATTTGCCGGGTACGACGTCACGCTTGGGTGTTTGACGAGCGGGCGAGCGTTCCTCGAATCTGGCCAATTCTTTCTCGAGATCCGGTGGTAGTGTGGGAGATAGCAACCGTGGCAGCTTGGCTGCGAGAGGAGTGGAGGATGGCATAAGCTTTGTTGGAGGGAGTGTAGGTGATAGTAATGCGGGTAGTTTTGGAGATTGTGGTTTGTTCGAAACAGCTTTCGCGCGCGCGTCCTTCTCAAGAGACAGTCGCGGTCTCTTGGGAGAGTGCATGCCGGGATTGAGGGCTTTTTCAGAACCAGGTTGTTCTATGTCAGAGGTTGAGGGCCGTTTCTTGGGGCCCTTAGAGGTGAGCAGATGTGACTGCGAACTGGGTGTTGGAGGCGGGTCGAGCTTATCGCGTGTTTTTGTAGAGTCAGGTTTGGGGGCTGGCTGAGTTTCTTCGTTTCTGGGGTTGGAGCCGGCGCGCATTCTTGGACTGCGACTCGCGATGGTCGTGACGGGCCCGGTCGTCTTCTGGTCTTTGTAATCTTTGAGACTAATCTTCTTCCTCGCTACCGTCTCTTTCGGGTTCTCTGTTGCGCTCGGGGCCGAGGACCGGTCAGCCATCATGCGGTCCGACTCGTCAGACCAATCGCCCAGGGCCACAAGCAATGAGTCTGTATCGTGGTGCCGGAGGAAGGTCATATACTGAAGTTCTTGCTCCTCTGCACTAAATGGGCGGTCATGTCCTACTGCCCAATTGTTCGCGGAACGGGACCCCAGGCGGAAAGGCGCATTCGTCGGGAGGGTGAGGATATAAGGTTGAGGCGGAAGGACTTCGTCAGAGAGGCGCTCCAAACGCTTGTCAAGGTTTCCAAGATCAGATGCAAAGGGATTGTTCGCGAGTGTGAGAGTAGTATCCTCAGAGGGGGGGCTGATCGTTCACCGACATCGCAGTCCGCGGAGTTGGAAGATATGGTAAACCATCGATCGAACTGCACGCGTGCCGAACAGTGAATTCGCCGAGTTGGAGCGTGTCACCAAAGCTGTGGTCCCTGGAAGCATGCGCCCGCGGAGAATCGGAAGTCAAAACATCGAGACGAGGGTAGAGAGATCTGCATCAGCCTCGAGAGGGCTCATCGGAGTATCGTTTTGCGATCTCCGGACAAAGAATGTAGAAGTATAGGTTGGAAGAATTTAAGGTCAGTGGTTCAGGACGGGGAAGGGTGAAAGGTGAATGGGTGAAATGGGGATCCGGGGCTCTCTTTCGGGGGCGCCCGCCTCGCCGCTTTTGGCGTCGATCTACGTGTCTCTATATTTCCGATGCACATGGCAAATATAAAAAGTAGCCGAAAAGTGAACCAGGTATAATGGAGAATGAGATTGTATACCAGCTAGCAGTAGACATGCAGCCAGGCTGTAAATATCTTCTTCGGTTGAGACTTGACTCAGGCACTTCTTGAAGATTCCAGGTAGATGTATACACAGGCCAACAATCGAAACTAGAAGCTCCAAATGACAATTCTATTTGCACGTGTATTCACCAACAAGGTTTTTCCTTTCTAAACACGGTGAAAGCCCAGGAATAGTGACATCAGGTCCGGTCATCGGCAGCATAAACATCTCCCCAGTACGCGCGGAAATGCTTCTGCTCCCCGAGAGTTGAGATCTCCTCCACCTCTCGAGGGGTCAATTTGAACGTCAAAGAGCGCAGGTAGCTGGCAAGGCGAAGCTCCTTGCTGCTCGTCGTGATGGGAAAGCACCCTCGGTCAAGAGTCCAGCGTATCAAGATCTCCGATTCGTCGACCGCGTACTTCTTAGCCAGGTCCGCTAGAAGCGGATCCAGCGGTCCGCCTCGCGCGCGATTCACCGGTGACAGTCCGGAGTAGGTCACTGTCTTGATACCCTCACGCTCGTGGAATTCCAATAGCTTCCCATGCTGGAGGTACGGGTGGTACTCGATCTGGTTCACCGACGGCACGACCTTGGCAGTCTTGAGGATCGTCTCCAGGTGGCTTTGCACAAAGTTGGACACGCCGATAGATCGAGCTTTTCCAGAAGCCTTGACCTGCTCCATCTCAGCCCAGGCGGCTTGAAGGTCACTCTCTGTCTTGGCAAAAATGGGGCATGAATCAGATACCTTGCGTCGTCAGTATCTGGGTAAGTGAAGCACGAGAGAACTTACAGGTCAACATAATCAAGACCGAGTTTCTTGAGGCTGCAGTCAATGGCTGAAGGGATATCGGCAATATTGGTGATCACCTTGGTGGTCACGAACAACGTCTCGCGAGGCAGTCCACATTCCCTAATAGCATGGCCTAGTTCTTCCTCGGTTCCGTAGACCTCTGCTCCATCCAAATGGCGAAAACCCAACTTTACCGCGCTCTTTGCTGCCTCGACCAACTCGCGGTTGGGCCCACTGTCCGCAGTCTTGTACCAAGCCGTGCCGGTGCCATACCCGATCTGTATGCCATTAGTGAGCTAGAAAGCTTCTCCAAACACAATTCGAGGACACCTACAACGGGCATGACGGAGCCGTCATTGAGCTTGATGGTGGGAATGTTGTGCGGGCTAGCCATGGTTGAGGAATTGCTGAATGCAAGTCTGGGACCGGCAACACTCGCTCAAGGCCCACGCGGGGTATCAGAGCGGTCCGGGTTTCGCGATACCCATTGGAGACTGGATCGCGGCCAGCCTCCCGAGATTAATAATGGGCATGATGTCATCCACGCTACAGGGTTCTCCGCCTCTATCAGATTTGAGGACCTCAGAAACCGTCCTTCATGAGATCGACTCGTGTGCTTTGTGTCTGTTCGGGTCGATATATGTCGCGATCCTTCCACCCGGCTCTCCGTTTGGCTCAAATGGTTTCTCATCTTTCGAGCTCCGCGGGCACGTCCCTAGCGGATCTACCCAAATCGAATGTTTTCACCTCTAAACTGCCAGCGGATCCGGCTTTCGAGACTCCGAGGCTTCGCACCAAGCTCCCCGGCAAACTCTAGGACCGCGGACGGTAAAGGGCGCTCTTTTTACCTATGTCCGTCCGGAACCCGCGAAGGAGCCGGAGCTGCTTGGCGTGAGCCCTAGAGCGATGGAGGACTTAGGCTTGAAGCCCGGTGAGGAAGATACGCCTCAATTCAAGGCGCTGGTCGCAGGTAATCACATTTGGTGGGATGAAGAAAAGGGGGGCATCTACCCCTGGGCTCAGTGCTATGGTGGTACGTCTTCCCAATTGTGTATAAAATTTCTTACCAGCAGATGCTGACTACATTTCAAACAGGGTGGCAATTGTAAGTCAACCAATAGGTCATGCAAGACCAAGACTAAAAAAGGTGCAGTGGTTCATGGGCTGGGCAGCTCGGGGACGGAGTAGGTCGACCCAAGTAGGCTCTACAAAGAAAGAAGAGAACACGATTGCTAATGGATTAAAAGCGTGCGATCAGTCTCTTTGAGACTACCAATCCTAAAACAGGGAAACGGTATGAGCTTCAGCTGAAAGGTGCGGGGAAGACACCGTATTCGCGCTTTGCAGATGGCAAAGCCGTCTTACGATCGAGTATTCGAGAGTATGTCGTTTCCGAAGGTAATATTCTCCGCCCTGGAGTAGATCAACTACTGACAGAGTATAGCGCTTAACGCTTTGGGTGTTCCAACAACTCGTGCGTTGTCCCTGACGCTACTTCCTGATGCAAAGGTTCTGCGAGAGCGCATTGAACCGGGTGCAATCGTGGCCCGCTTTGCCGAGTCCTGGCTGCGCATTGGAACTTTTGACCTTCCACGAGTCCGTGGTGATCGTGAAATCATAAGAAAACTTGCCACTTATGTCGCGGAAGACGTCTTCGGCGGATGGCAAAATTTGCCCGCCGCAGTCTCCGAGGGTGAACAGCTCTCCTCGAATATTGACAATCCTCAGAGAGATGTGCCCTGGGACGAAATACAGGGACCCCAAGAGGCCTCAGAAAATCGATTCGCAAGGCTCTATCGCGAAATCGCCCGACGCAACGCAAAGACAGTTGCGGCATGGCAGGCCTATGGGTTTATGAATGGTGTGCTGAACACTGACAACACCTCCCTCTACGGGCTTTCACTTGACTACGGCCCCTTTGCATTTATGGACAACTTTGACCCATCGTACACTCCCAACCACGATGATCATATGCTGCGATATTCGTACAAGAACCAACCCAGCATCATCTGGTGGAACTTGGTCCGCCTTGGTGAATCTCTTGGAGAATTGATTGGCGCTGGAAATCGGGTGGATGAAGAAGATTTCACCAAGGACGGTGTTACGGAAGACATGGAGGGGGAGGTTATCAAGCGTGCGGAGTCCGTCATTGAACGGACCGGCAACGAATTCAGAGCAGTATTCCTGAACGAGTACAAGCGCTTGATGTCTCGGAGGCTGGGACTCACGACACAGAAAGATTCGGACTTTCAAGAGCTATTCTCGGAGATGCTGGATACTCTGGAGGCACTGGAGCTCGATTTCAACCACTTTTTCCGACGCCTATCGGGCGTGTCTATCTCGGCGCTGAGCACCGATGAGCAGCGGAGAGAAGTAGCATCGATCTTCTTCCATGTTGAAGGATTTAGTGGCATTGGTTACACCGATGCCTCCGCCAGAGAACGGATTGCAAAGTGGCTTGACAGCTGGCAAGTTCGTGTGCTGGAAGACTGGGGAATCAGCAACGATGAGGCAAGACAGAAAGCCATGAAAGCTGTCAACCCGAACGTGAGACTGCCCTTCTTAATTACATATCATATTCGCTATGGATCTGACCAACTAACTCACATAGTTTGTTCCTCGAGGATGGATCCTCGATGAAATCATCGAGCGCGTGGAGCGCAAAGGAGAACGCAAAATTCTGGACCGGGTGATGCAGATGAGCCTGAACCCATTCAACGACGAATGGGGGCTTCACAAACAGGAGGAAGAGCGTTTCTGTGGTGACGTCCCCAAGTACAAGCGAGCCATGATGTGCAGCTGTAGCTCCTAAAGGGCTCTCCAGAAATTAGGTATAACAACATAGAAAGAAGCAATGTGGTTTTGGAAGATTAAATTCTGCATTTCCCCATGCAACTAAGTATCTTCCCGTAAGGCGCCGTAAGTAAGAATCCCATGCATACCCATTTTTTTTGCAAGCCAGATCACCCTTGGCACTTCGCTTTCCTTGCGAGAAAAAGCCCGGTAGACAGGGAAAGGAAGATCAATGTAGGAAGAATTGAAGCAACATGCAAAGAAAAGATCACGGTCGTGATTCAAGCCGTGAGTGATAATACAAAAAGGAACCCAGGGGAAATAGACATCTCAAATCGTGGCGCATGCAAATAGAAAATTTTTTGGTCCGAAATTACCCAGGGGTGAACGAGACGAAAGAGAAAAGATTGCAAGGTCAAATTTAGTTGGGGCAGGCAGCCTGGACGTGGCCGGGCTGCTTGCACTTGTAGCACACGCGCTCGCCGCGAGCCTCAGTAGTGCAGTCACGGGAAACATGGCCGACCTCGCCGCCTGGTTTTAGGTTAGTATCAATTCCTCAAAATATATATAAATGTAAAAGTGAAGACGGTCAAAACTCACAGTTGTAACACTTCTGACCCTGGGTGCAATCGCGAGCCATGTGGCCAAAGCCACCGCAGGAGTAGCAGGTCTGGGGACGGCCGCCGAAGCCGCCACCGTAGCCGCCAGCACCACCGTAGTTACCACCCTGGGGGCAGCTGCGAGCAATGTGGCCAACCTGACCGCACTTGTAGCACTCCTGGCCGCCGGGGGCACTGTAGCCACCGGGAGCGCCGCCCTGGGGGCACTCACGGGACAGGTGGCCAGTCAGACCACAGCGGTAGCAGGTACGCTCCTTGGGGGGGGGTTGGGGCACTCGCGGTCTAAGATAGGGTCGGTTAGTTTCGACCGTAATTCATTCTGGTCGGAGATTGGAATAATGACTTACTGACATGACCCTCACCACCGCAGTTGTAGCTATCAAACACATATCAGCCAAAACTCCACCGGCTGATCGGAACGCCGCTTACCAAGTGGGGGTTCCCTTCTTGGGGCAGTCCTTAGCCTAGGAAAAAAAAGGATGAGCATTCGATCGATCATGCGATACACATCACCACCACCAACTCCGGGAAAGCATTCAAAGGGCGCGAAAGCGATGCGAAGGAAGGCATGGTCTTACCTGGTGAGAGGCGTCACCACCTAAGGAGAGAAAGTGTCAGCAAAAAAGCCTCGAAGTGAAAGTACGATGTGCGCGCAGTTTTTTGGGAAAGGCGGTATCAAGGGATGAAAGGGCGGTAGTGAAACACAATCGTCAGAGCAAGCTCTCAGCTGCTCCAAAGATCCTGCACAGGCGTGTCTCCGAAGCAGTGAGCCGGCACTGTGCGGTGGTGGAATAGGCGAGGCGGGCGGAGGCTGGGTAGAATCACGTACAGTTGTAGCAGGAACGGTTGGAGCGAGGATCCATCTTGGGCGATTGAGAAGACTTGAGAGGAACTGAAATAGGGATGTGGAGGGAGAAAAGGTGGGAGGCGATGAAGAGGAAGCGTTGAGGGAAGCGGGTGAGGGAGGAATTTTGTAGTGCGGGGAGGGGAGAAAAACTTCCCGCGCTCTGAGCCCAAGATTTAAAAGATTTGAAACCTCGGGTTGCTCCCACTAAAGTTCATCCAACGTCCACGATTTTTCACACTGACTACCACTTTAGCACGTTCATTGTACTTCTCATTCGTATTTCCACCGTGAAATGTGCGGGGGTGAGCACATCTCGCCCCCTGTAGAGGCATCCATTGCCAAAGGACCTCATGCACAGCAAATTCCTGAATGAATCGGGCTGCGTCGAAGCTTTATTTGGCCATGAAGTTGTGCAAATGGACTTTTGGGCCTTTAGGAGTGGCTGAGTCCTGGCAACTAGACGCCATTGCTAAGCAATGCATCATTCACTTCGTTGCGACCTTAGAAAGTTTTCGCACATGGATCCAGGTATATGCTGCAGACTCTTGGGAAAGTCAATGCCACGATGAGATGAGAAGGAGTTCCTTCTGGGCTTAATAATATACTGAGCGACGATGCCAGCACATGAGTAGCAGCCTTGCCAACTCGGGAGAATGAATGGGATTCCCAACAGTGAACGGAAACGGGAATCAGGCCTCGCGACCAAATTGGGGACTGCCCATCATTTTATATCCTGGGACGCCCCGAGATCTGCCAGGGTCCCCAACCTGAAAGAAGCGCCTTGAGCACCTTGAGGACCTTGTGCTACGGGGATGCGCGACTGGGTCCCTGGACCTGCGTTAGCGCCCCCCCCCCGTCAAATCGCGCCCATTACTTGCTCTCTGTGATAGAGATTTGAGCCGATTCCAGGTTTCAAAAGCAGGCGTTTATCGGAGGCCATGCCTTCGGTCTACGTCAATGGTGTGGCTATGTGAAATCATAACATTCCAGCAGCTGGGTGCCAACTTGCTTCTCTTGGAGAAGGAGAACTCGCTCTTCATCAAACCCGACGCATTCATGCCTGCGCGTCATCTCCTGCGGGACACAAGGGGCCATCCCGGATCCGTCCAGATCCCGTTGGATGCTTTTCGGCGTAGGAGCGGACACCGATTCCGCTTGCCGTTTGTTCCCAGGGCTGACTTGGATGCTATTCTCATCATTCTGGGGCTTGTGGCGGCCCAACGAAGAAACGGCTGTTTCAAGTTCCCATATGCGTATTTCGTCTCCACGGGAACTCACTGACACAGCTTTGCCGCGGTTTGTCACTTGTACAGCAGACACGGAGGAGGTATGGCCCCAGAGACGCTGCCCTCCGCGGACGTAAAGCGATCTCAGGTCGGAAACCACAAGATACATAGTCAGCGTGTTATCCGCATGGGAAGTCAGCAAATATGGATGGGAGTACGACATTGATGTTGGTGGCTGTTGGTGCAATATGGAGGGAACGCCGGGGGCTGAAACTTCATTATCGATGGACTCGATGGTGGCCGAATGTCGTCGTCTAAGTGGTGGCGTAGTACCCTGGAGCGGACTCATTCCGTATTGCGAGTCAACCGTACTGGCAATACGACAGTCGAGCTGTTGACCGTCTTTATCAAAGCGCAGTTCTTGGATGCCCTGTGACCACCCACAACCAATATGATAGAAGCTATACACAACAGTGGCCACAATGTCCGAAGCTGAGGCTTCGGAGAGACAGCGTCATTGGCGCGACCATATTGTCCGCTTTCAATGACGCAAGTTCATGTAGTCGAGGGATATCGACTGGTGCCTCAAGTTCGTGAGATTGACCCCCAAGGTTATATAACGACAAGTTTCTGTGCTGGGAGACAGTCAGGAGATATGGCGAAGAAAGAGCCATAGCAGTGATGGTTCCGTCGCTGAGTCCGACATAGGAGGATCGCAAGATCAACTGGCATGTTTGGACATTAAAAATGTAGCGATTGAGAAGACCGTTATCGAAGCCCACCACAATATCCGATTGGTTCTGCTGGTGGCTCACAACCAATGCGGTTGGAAGCATGCCAGACTTCTTTTGTGGATCTGCAAAGGGGGTGTTTGCTGAGACACCGCGCTGGATCTTTAGCGGCCCAAGCCCGAAGCCCGTGGAGAGCATCTGCCGTAAAAACATTACCAGCACAAAGTTTGACCAACGTGGGAGGAGATGTGTGTTGGGGAAACTCGACCTCGGTCACTCGACATAGTCCGCGTGACCAATTGTGTCGCAATCGGTACTGTCTTTTCCAATTCGTCACTTTCCCCTCCTCCGCCAAGTGGCTATGATCAAGCCATGTTGAGACCTTTGGTGAATAATCCATCTTGGCTGATGATGTGGACCGTCTAACATTAGCCAGTCGGCGAGCACGAGGACGCACCCATTGCGAGTAATACTGTCGTTTCCATAGTTCCGAGTCCCCACTTAGAGTGTGAAACCGATGAGATAACCTGGTGACCAGAAGTTCAAGATGGCTGCAAAGAATGAAAAAAATTGGTGATCACTCACGTCTGGCACAAATTCAAAGACGAAACAGGGAGAAATGACAGGATATTAAGCAGGAGCTCGTCGCTCAAAGAAGATAGCCGATCAACAGGACCAGTCACAACGTCCCGAATTCGTTTTGCAGGAGGCAAGTCAGACGGCTGATATTCCCAGCTGCGCTTCGACATCCTGGTGGACGTTCCAAACACATGTCATGCTTCTGCAGGGTCGATGGTGAATGGGGAATACAGAAGGGAACCTTGCATGCTACGTCAAGGCGACTCATCAATGGCCGATAACGACCCTAAAGCGGTATGCCTCCGGTCACGTGGCTAATGGAAGCGGTGTTCAAACTGCCAGAATTATGATCAAGACGCGTCTCGAAACCGCGCCTCGTGGCTTGCCCCATGAACTCCCCGATGGACATTCTCAAGGAGCTCCATGCTTCAATAGCAGAGGCATGCGAGGCATATTTTGATCATGCATACAAGGAAATTGATTCACAAATTGCGGCTCGTGAAGCACAATTGAGACAAGCTGAAGTTGACGGATCGGTTGCACGTGAAGCGGCAGACCGCAAGATCCAAGACTTGCAGAATCAAATCACGGTACTCCAGGGGGAGCTCAAGTGCTTTGAAGTCGACGCGAAGGATCTAGAACTTCCTGCCGGACTTGCCAACTTCGAGGGTGAATTTGGGCCGGAAAACATTTGGAGCAATCATCATGACGTGAGTCAGCTGCGGAAAATCTTCGATCAAAAGTACACAACACTCTACACCAACTTCCAGACACTTGCCGGAAGCTATATTAGTCTTAAGACGAAAGTTTTGCAACACAAGAAGAAATTACAGTATTGCGACAAACGCCTACAGAAGGACGAATTTACATACATTCTCAATGGTGAACCGGTAACATTTCGAAAGGTGTTCAATAAGGAGAACGGTGCAACAAACAACTCAAAAATCCCGGGCTCACGTGCAAGACCGTGGTCCGAAGTTGAATTGACCCAGGGCTCTGTCTCTGGGACATGGCCCGCTGGACCATGTCAGATTCGAGACACCTCAACACATGCAAACCCCAATTTGAAGGTTGAGGAAAGCAGTCAACCAATGAATGTCACGACCCAAACGAGATTCCGGCATGCCACACATGATCCACCATCTTCAGAGTCGTCTTCGGACATAGTTCCACCTTTACCTGATTTACACAATCGGAAGAGAAAGCGTGTTGGTGCCGTTGCTCATGCCGATCCAACCGAGAGTGCTCCTGGCAGACCATTGCATGTAAAGAATGAACCAATGTCATCAAGTCCGATACAAAACTCTGCGTTCTCGCATGGTCAGCATCTTCCTAGCACTCAAGATCTGGATGAGATCGGCGACACTGTACAGACGCCTACAAAACGGAACGTCCACCGAGACGTGCACTGGGAAGACTCGGGCATGGAAAACGAGTTGGGTGTTACCAACACCCAACAGACCCAGTCAGGTCGACCTTTTCAACTACCATCTGTACTACGTCCAATTGATGGTAATGCTCGAAAGGACAAGACTAGTGGACCAGAGTCAGGGGTGAAGAAAAAGAGGCCGACAAATCACCGGGCAGTCCATTCCATGGCTGAAGACGGTGATGCCGGTGAACATGGTGGTCATTCCAGGCATCTTCCGAGGAACACAACAGCCATGCGCGCCAGATCATTAAAACCAAAAGTGGACGGGAAAGCCACAGAGGACCGACTACAAGGTCTTTTGGAGGGATCGTTACCCTCCAAATCATCACTCGCGTCTGCCGAAGCTCTTTGTGGCCCGGAAAGCCCTCAAAACATTAGCAAGAATTATAGTTCGCGGAAACAACCTCCAACTACTCAGTCTCCTACATCCCAGAAGCCGTCGGATGTTTCTGTGATCGAAATAGAATCGCACAAGTCCCTGGAAGTGCGGCCAGAAGACGAGCCCTACAGATCGCTTCCTCTTAACCGCCTGAATCTTGACCACTTTAAGATCAACCCAGCCCAAAATGAGGGGCTTGAATTCGCATATGACGCGGTCGTTCGCAAAAAAGATGATCGCAAATGCATTTCTGGATGCACACGCCCTGGCTGCTGTGGAGATCGATTTCGTGCGATGGCACGGCTTGGGGGCCTTCCATCTAATACCTCCGCAGAGCAGACAAAAGAAGACCAACGGATCCTGGAGGAATACGCAGGCGAGGATCGGTCTCTATTGGATGGGCTAGATGGCCAGGAAAGAGATGATCTCCTCGTTGAAGCAAAAGCCAGGCTTCTGGCCAACCGTTATGGGCGACACCGACATACCCACCAGCGAGCTCGATCTCCACCTGGTTTCTGGAGAACAGATATGCCAGACACGCAGGAAATCGAGTCAGATCGGGAAGCCGCAAAACGGCTGGAGCGGGAAAAGGTTGAGGAGCGGTACCGAGAGGCTATGCGACCTGAAGGACTGTGGGTCTGGGCGGATGAATGAGCATTATTTACATGATACCCCAATATGACAACAATTAGATTGATGGATTATTCCCATATTATGCACAATGACGTGACAAAAGGCAGAGAGTACAGCGTAAGGAGACGATGAAGCTCGGTCACTGAAAGCATCGAAGGGTCGACCTCGGCTCATCCGTCTTGGCACCCCCGTGACTGCCATCTTCCCCGGCCTCCCGCCTTCTCTCCTTCACTATCGCGACAATGGAGACTGTTCACCCTCCCATCCCTTCAAGGATGCTGAAACCGACTAAATGGCTTTCGCTCTATGAGGACTTTGTCACTAAGAATGCCAGCTCAGTTGGACAGGTCGAGTCCGCCTTGAGGTCGCTGACCTACATCATCCCAGGTGCGATGAAGCACGGTTGCGTTCCTGCAAGCGATCGCTAATGACTCTCATTGTACAGGCCGTTATAGAGAATCAGAAATAGCATCAGAATGTGGTTAGTTCGATCCTCTTCCACGTCTGAGCGAGTATCGCGTCTCTTACACGAACATGCAGTGCACTCCGGAGTACAACTTCTATCTCTTTATCACGATACATTAGTCTCAAGGGTGATATCTCGACTGCCGTCTACAGTGCCTCGACTGCCGCCTACACCACATGCGCGATATACCAAGTACTGGAGCACTCGCTCTTCTTTGTATCAAAAGGTCGCCGTCGCGCTGCAGATGCTTCAATATACCGAGCTTTTGTGGGAAATGGCAGCAAGGCGACGCGGCCAGAAGACTCGATGGCGCGTCGTCGTCTTCCTTGAATTTGCCAAGGCCGTCTGCCGCTTGCTTCTCCTTCGATTGACAAATTCTCGGCCGCTGGTTAGCCCTCCGCTCCCGGAGCGGGAGGTGGATCCGAGGTCAACTGAAGAGGAAGAGGATCAAGGTGATTGGAACGGGATGCAGACCCCCGTCAGCGAGCGGTCTACGGATATCAGCTGGACCATGCCTCGAACAGGGTTGTCACTACCATCCCTCCCAGACGTGAACGATGTGTCGAATTATCTCATCTCTAAAGTCCTTACCGCTGATGACATCAAATCTCCCAAGACCCTGTTGCATCGTGTCACTGGACAGGGACAGTTGGCGGAGATTTTGTATATTTTGAGGCCTGTGGTATATGCTCTAGCCATGCAGCGATGGAGTGGAGATAAGAGAAGCTGGCGGCCTTGGCTGATAGGATTTGGAATGGAATATGGCTGCCGGCAGCTCGCCAAGCGGGACTTCCGTGAACGTGTCGCGGGCGGTTTGCGTGGACTAACGGGCCTCGAGCGAGAGGAGCTGCGCAAGCGCGGCTGGTCTATGGGTTGGTGGATGATGCGAGGCGCGTTCTATGAGAACATCACCAAGTACGCTATGAGAGACTCCTTACAAAATCTTGAAACAGTAGCTGACATTCAAACAGGTCCTGGATCCAGGGTGTAACCGACAAGATGAAAGGAAAGCCGCTCCTGGACCTCATGGGTAGCGTGGTAGAAGACTACGGCTACCTGTGGGACAATTACTACTTCTCGACCGCCACCTTGTGATTGCCCTTTTTCGCATTACCTTCTCTCGTGATACCCGGTTTATTCTACAACTTTGGACGGCATTGATTGGAACGTTTCTTTCTCTTTCTTTCTAAGCGCACGCCTCTCATAGGGTATCATCAATGTTATATTAGGTTCATTATGTTTATTTTCCACACATCATAGAATCTCGGCATGCCTTTGACCATACCATTCCCCAAGGCCACCTCGACTTGAGCTTTTGCCTGGACCTGATACCAAGAGGAACTCACTGAGCTGCCCTGCTCCTCCGTCCTCGTCCGCTGGCCAGTCCACTCGTGCTCCGCCCTTGATTTCCAGCATTTCCTTCGCAGTGCCCCAACTGAAGCGACACTCATTACCCCATCCAAAGACGGGATCCATGTTTCGTCGCAACCATCCCACGCACTTGGAATCCGAGGGATAGCCACTGCCCCATCCCTGAACAGACGCGTTTCCCGACTGTTGAGCGCGAAGCACGGCCTCGTACAGAACTTCCAACGCGACATCACGCGTCACCTTGGCTGCAACACTCGCTGCACTGACGCATGGATAGAGGGAGTCTGCCTTCTTGGCCACGGTGATTTTCATGGTTGGAAAAATTCTCTCCAATTTGGCCTGGTAGGTAGCTGGATTGCCGATGGTGTCAATGTACACCTCTCGCACATCCACTCCGAGGACTTCGACCACGCCGCGAATTATCTCGATTGTTGCATCTATCGCCTGTGCGTTCAAATTGTAAACGGCGGTGCCGGGTCTCATCATCCCAGAACCAATGTCGCGGGCAGAAAGGGCCTTGATCGCGTAGCCGCAGGACTCGAACAAGTCCTCACCGGGCGTGTTGAGGAGTCGCATCAGGTTGGCGCGGGCATTAGGTGTAAGGACTTTGCTGTCGTCGAAGCTGTGCTTTTCAGCCAAGAGAGAGTGGTGAACGTCCCTCGGTAGATAAAAGGCACCGTAAACCATTGGGCCTAGGACCGGCCCACGGCCAGCCTCATCCACGCCTAGTACACATTGAGTTGTTTCCACACCATCGCTGGACGCTTTGGCGCGAGACGTGATTCGGGCGGGACAGGGCGTGTAATATGCATAAGAGGCTCCGGAGAGCAATTGGGCCGAGTCGACACTGGGGGGAATGAAGGATAGAGGATCCTGAGAGGTATTGAGACCGTTATCGGCAGCCATAGTTGTGGGAAAAGTTGAAGGCTGGAAGGTGAAGTCATCTTCAAGCCGAGTATGTGGAAACGCGTCGACTGTTCGGGCTTAGCGGCGGGCGCGCGTTACTCTCCCCAAATTCCGGCGCAAACCATTCCTCCTCCCCCTCCACCTGCACTTAGTTGTGAAAGTTCCTTTGACCATTTTCCGGATCCATTAGTTAGCATCCACAGCTATGGCTCGGGGGCCAGGAAAGGCCCGCGACTTCGATTTTTCGAATGTGGGGACCACCGGACGGTGAGTTGTCTTTGATTCTGACGTGCGACGGCGCTAATGCAGACACGCTTAGACGGACCGGTATCACACTCGCGGAGGGACGACGCGACGAGCATGGAATGGAAGAAGTGGACGGCCTCTTTTCGTCCCCGGAGAAGTCGCCTACGAAGTTGAACGGGTTTGAAGAGGACGAAAGTGACGCTTCTGTTGGTTCAGAAATGTCTATGGATGAGGGTAGGATGGCACGCCAAGTCGAGCAGTTCGCAGAGAAATCGCTAACATGTTCTGCCTCGGTTATCAGAAAATGCGCCTGGCCCTATGGACTTTCTCAAAGCTTCGAACCGCACACGCGAGTCTCTTCTTGCCCCGCCCCCCCGGATCACCTGCGAAGCGTTCTCCTCGAAAGTCTCCCGTGCTGCGATCTTCGCCAGAACTGGAAAATGAATTCGTGTCCTCCAGTCCTTCGGATGGCAAAGGCCTGACTGAAGCGCGTCAAGACCCTAGTCCGTTGTCCACTCGCTCGGTGAACGCAGGTGTGTCAAATTCAAAGAGTGATTCGCGACCAACAAAGGCGCAGCTGGCAGCAGAATCGGTTGATGTGCACGATTTTTCGGACGGCGAGGGGGATGAAAACGCAAATTCATTCGGTCAGCTCCAAGACGATTTCGGCGATAGCTTTGATGCTGGCAACGGATCTATCGTTCGCGATGATGAGGTGCCCGAGCAGGACCTGAGTACCGAGTCATCCCCAGCCGCTCCAGCCGCTGCGCTCTCGCGCCCAACAGACAAGAAACCGTTGACTGCCAAGCGATCGAGAAAAGCGCCTACAGCGAACGCTTCACAACCAAGCAATGATCCGCCAAAGCGACGGGGACGGCCTCCAAAAACTCAACGCCCTGCTGCTGATGAAGGCACCGATGCCAGGCCACCCAAGAAGCAAAAGACTTCAACTGGGGAGCCTCGAACCACACGTGAACAGCTGGCCCCGGAGCTTGACCGGGTGATTGAGAACTACGCCCAACGTTCAGGTCCATTGAAAGGACGCAGTTTGTACATTCTCAAGCGTGAAAACCCCTCTGATACTAGCGCCACACACACTCGCTCGGGTCGGGTCTCTGTACGACCTCTTGCATACTGGCGAAACGAGCGGTGTGTGTTTGGTGATGAAGAGGCTGCCGAGGGACAACGCTTCCCACTTTCGACGATCAAAGAAGTCATCCGGACCGAAGATGCCGAACCGGATCAGCAGAAGAAAGGCAAGCGTCCGGGCCGAAAGTCCAAGAAAAACAAGCAGAGGGAAGAATCTTCCGATGAAGAAGACGAAGAAGCCGATATTTGGGAGAAAAGAAGGGGTTCTTCACGGTTATGTGCCGAAATGGGACCCCAAGGCACAAGCCAGCACCTCGGAGGAGGAAGTCCTCGGTAAGACAAGCTCCTTTTGACTCCTCTGCATCTCGTGCTGATGATAAATTAGACATTGCATACGCTCCTTCTGGCATTGAAACCAGAGAAGTCAAAGATTCTACGTTCAGGTTCGCCAAGCTGCTAAGCTCTTCTTTCATTGGATCGGGAGTCGTTGAGCTTCCCCCCGAAGGTGTGAAGAAGCCGAAAAACTCGAAGAAGATGCACATGGTCTTCTATGTTTGCCATGGCCGTGTTCAAGTCGACATTTCGGGTGTGCAATTTAGCGCTGGCAAAGGATGCGTCTTCCAGGTTCCTCGAGGTAAGTTCAACTTGGATGGGTGTCCCTCTTACAACTCTGACATCTCCGACCGCTCCTAGGCAACTATTATAGCTTCATGAACCAGCACAGCAGAGAAGCTCGTCTTTTCTTCACACAGGGCTGTGTACCTGGTGAGGATGAAACTTCTGCTTCCAAGCATGATGTGCAGGAAAGCGAATTTGAACCAGAGAGCGCCACTCCTGCTCCCCCCGCGAAGACTCGAGGTCGGCCTAAAGGCAAGCAAAAGGCCAAATGATTGTCTTGATCTATTATTCGCCTTTTTGATTTCTTTCAAGCCATGCCGGTATTTTGACTGCGCGCCACGATACCTCTTTGTCAGTCTTGTTTCCAGCGTTCTTATGTCCAACCCGAGTTACTAGGCGTCGGTGTTAGCAGGCTTGTCATCTTTTTATCATGACAATTGGGAATGGCCTCGGGAGGGATCGGAGTTAAAATGTCATCTACAATCGAAGCAATTCATCCGTATCATCAATCAAATCTCCTCCATTAGCTCATCCAGGTCGTCATCCAGTGGCGGGAAGTCGCCAACTTCCACTTTCTCCGGCTTGACAAATGCTCCTCGCTTCTCGAGGCACTCAAAGTAGCGTCGGCCGCCCACGCTACCGTCATTCTTCCCCGTAGGTTCATCCAGCTCGATACCGACCCAGAGAGGTTGCAGCTCCTGGGGCGGCTGTCCATTCTTTTCCGAGTCACGACTCGCACCCGGGGCAGGGATCGTCGGAACGGGGCCTACAAACCGAATTGTGCCGCGTCGGATATGCGGCGGAGACGAGGGCAGAATGATAGCCCGCTTGGACACAGCTATACCTGCAAGAACTGTGAGATATCGAAACTATCATGACCAATAATTCAACATACCTTTGGAGGTAATCTCTGCGCGGTCTTTCTCAACCTGCTTCTGTAGGGCTTCTTCAGGTGAGAGAGCGCTGGGGTCGAATCGACCCAGCTTCTGATTTTTCTTCCACGCCAGGACAGAGTTTGAGAGAGACTCGTACGTCTCTGTGGGCAGTTCGTACTTCTCAACTGATGACAAGTCGTTAAAGTTGGGCCGCATAGCCTGCGGACGAGAGTCGTGGACCTGGCGATGTACTTAGCAGGAATCCAATGGTGATTTCAGTGGCAACATACCTCAATCTCAGAGCCCTTGGCCAGGCCGTAATTTCCAATAAGTTGGTCATCATTGTCGGCCCACTGGGCTTGTTGACCGGGTACCTTGACGCGAAGACGTTGGCTGCTCGGGGGCACACCTGTCATGGTCTCGAGCTTCCCCTTGAGCTGCATCACGGTCCACGAGGGAGTCACGCGGCGTTCAGTCAGAAACGTAGGTTCTCCATTTGGAGACTTGGCCGCAGCTGGACTGGTGATGATGACGGAGATATCCACCGGAGTGGGCTGGAAAGCCATTTTGACTGTGCCCGTCGCGAGGGGTCCTTGAACCGTATCTGGATGAATGTGTTAGGATTGAATGTCGATGAATGTAGCCATGACAAGCGGGGAATCTCCACAAATTGCAAAAAAAAAAAGAGTCAACTATCAAGATTTGGGATGAGAAATGGGCTGCATAGAACCGCCCAGAAGAATCCTTTTTGGGTGAAGGGGGGAGGGGGGGTTTGATATTGCCAGATCAGTCACTCGTAGATCCTCAATCAGAGGCTCCGGGAACTGGACTTAAATTCGAGGCCGAAGAAGAAAACTTCTCATATAATCCAACGCAGTGCAATCAATACAACCGAGGAAGGACTTACATTAATTTTCACAAGGAGATGAGATTTCCTCTCTCCTGAACGCACCACCCAAATCGACTATGCTTAGTCAGCGTGCAAAGGTAGCCCTAGAACTGGAACACTGAACAAGGGTGATCATAGAGATGAGCATGGTTCTTCCTAGTTGGATCTAATTCAGGGCAGATGCTTCTGTTGAAGATTCGACCACCGGTAGCACCATCTAGATCTGGCGATCGGGTTCTACTGTTGACCATGCATGTAAGCGGGTGAGTTTCGGGAGATGGCCCGTAGATCTACTCGGTGTGATTTCAAAGAATCGCCTCTCTGGCTGAAGTACACGAGTATGTGAATTCGGTAGATCTATCGTATTCCAAGAAATTTGGATATATGTGTCGGTGGGTGTATAACGTATGTTCGGAGCCACGTGATGCTATGACCCGTCTCTCGCTTGAGGGCGACTTCACTTCTCTTCATCAGCAACCATGGAGTCCGCGGAAATCTACGAGCAGAAGAACGTGCACGAGGTCTACCAGCAGATCGCAGAGCACTTCTCCTCTACTCGGTATAAGGTATGTACCCAAATGCCATGCCTGTCCGCGGGGCTCACGGATTTTTCTAGCCATGGCCCATTGTGGAGCGATTCCTCAAGGAGCTCCAACCCGGCTCCGTCGGTCTGGATGTGGGCTGCGGCAATGGCAAATATCTCACTGTCAACAAAGATGTCTTTATAGTGGCTTCAGATAGGTACGTCTACGGTAATGGAGGAGTATGTTTGTTGAATCTAGTTTCTTTTTTTTTCTTTTTTTTTCAGGGGGTATTCGTTTTGTTTCGCGCCTTTTCGCTCGACTCGGGCTGATTCACATTGACAGATCGGAGAATCTCGCACGGATTGCACTCCAGCACCAGCCCCATTCAACCGTGGTGGCTGATATCATGGACCTTCCACATCGGGATGCATTCTTCGATTTTGCAATTTCGATTGCTGTCGTGCACCATATTTCCACTCCGGCCCGGCGAGTCCAAGCCATTGCTGAGATCCTACGAACCGTAAGACGAGGTTCGGCCACAGAATCAGGTGGTAAAATGTTGATATATGCCTGGGCTCTCGAGCAAAAGAACAGCCGTCGGGGCTGGGATAAGGGCGACCCGCAAGACATTATGGTACCCTGGATTCGCAAGGCCAAATCAGCCGATGATGAGCCCCAAATCTTCAACCGCTACTATCATCTGTATGAAGAAGGGGAGCTGGAGCGCGATATTGACCAGGCCGGAGGCCATGTTCTCGAGTCGGGATACGAGAAAGACAATTGGTGGGTGATCGCGACGCCCAAGATCTTGTCATGAAGCTGTGTGATGGGTGTTATCGTTCCGAGAACCAGCCTCGAAAGTGGCCATCAGCACGCAACGCACTCGTCAAAATAGCGTGTGGACACATGTCTGCCCAACAAAACAAGCAAGGAGAGTCCAAACGCGCAAACGGGGGCGGGATATTCTCTATTTAATTCCTTCCCCCCCCTTTCAAATCACGGAATACCTCCAGCCGGCGCTATGCAATTCGTATCAAGGGAACAAAAGAAAGCCGTACAGGCGTGATCGTTCATCGTCATTTTAGGGCAAAGTTCGTGGAGGCAATCCCAGATGCGGGCCCATAAGACCAGGCGGGGGAATACCCATGTCCGGAGGTCTTCCTACTCCATAGAACTCTCTCGGTGGTGGAGGAGCTGGCGGGGCATACGCAGGGACCCCTGCGGTCAGTTCTTCGAGAGATGGAAGCTGGGTTGGAAGGCCTGGGAGATGACCAGGGATTGCGCGTGAGGTAGAAGATTTCCGTGGGCGGGCAAAAGACGTGCTCGCTCGGCGAGTTCGGGTGGTGGGAGGATCGATTGCAGTACTCGATAGAGAGAAGGGCACCACGCCTGCGCGGCGGGCCATTTCCTGCTCGCCGAGCTGCCAGTGCATGGCCTCTGCGGCACGCCATGGGATGGCCATTTCTTCCGCCACCTTGGACCACATCTCTGCTTTAAATCTGATTGTTTATCGTTAGCACTTTGCAAGCCCCGACGAGTTTCTTTCCTTTGATTCCTACCGTTCATACAACCGAGCGAGCTTGTTCTTTTTATCCTCATCCCACTCGCTGCGGCGCTCGAGATAGTTCTGGTAGTGCAAACGGCAACTGATGGCACTGCGACCTGGCAGGCGTTTGCTGATATCCTCCCACTTCATACCACTGCCTCGCAGCTCGATGATCAAGGCATCTTCCTCTGGCGACCACTTGGACTGCTTCTTGGCAGGTGACTCCGCAGTGTGAGCGGGCTGCAGACGCTTTGCCGGGAGACCCGGGGCGGTCTTAGTCAAGGAGGGCGCCACGGGTGTCGGACCCGTCATGAGCGGCGCCGCCCCCGAAGGCGGAGCCGGTAGAGATCGAGGCGGATAGAGGTGCGCAGGCTGTGCCGGGGTGGCTTCTTCCTCATCTTGGGGCTTGAGTAGCAGTGAGATATCCACTTTGGCGGGCGGCAAGATAGGCCGGTTTTGTAACGCAATCATATGCGCGACGGAGGCGGGACTTTTCGGGATTCCAGAGTAAATAGCAAGCAAGCCCCCTCCAAAACAAGGCCGAGGAGGGGAACGAAACGAAGACGAGGCTCGTGATCTCAGTAGAATCAGAAGAATGACGACAGCCCAACGAACACCGGGTGATCAGAGAGCAGAGAGAACAGTCTGGATCAAATGCACCGTCAAGCAGAAACTCAAAAGGATATCGTGGTCTCGTGCAACGAATGGTGAGGTCAGAGCAGGATCCCTCTGAGGGCTACAGCGGCAGAATGGCGGTACAGACACAGAGTACCGTGGAATGGAGGAATGGTGGAATCAGTTGAGGGAACCAGAATAGAGATTGGAGGAGGGGGGAACACAGTAAATAGATGCACGTTGGAAAGATGGTCAGATAGGAGGTAGAAAGGTAGAAAGTAGATGAAAGGTGTAGAGTATAGGAAATCGAGAAAATGAGAAAAGGCATACAAGGGAAAGACCAGACTTGAAACCGATCAACGGTGACAGACCTCACAATCCACAAGCCGGGTATGGGTCAGGTCTAAGACCGTGAAGCCCAAGTATTGGTATTGTAAAATAAATAAATAGAATCTCTGCGATCCACTCAGCCGTTAATTTTAATTAAAAAGAGGTCAAGCCCCTCGTGCTCTACTATAGTTCTAGCACCCGACCAGTTCATTTCCTTGCCATGGGTCTACGGAGACAGGCTTTTGGTTCCAAGTCAACCTCTTGAACCTAATCTCGGATGGACTATTACCCAGTCAACCCCTAGGTAGCAACAAGCTAGCCAGATTGGTTGGGTGGACTAGGTCGACCAGGTAGCCTAGGTCAGCTAACGTAGCTAAGAAAATTAGCTCCCGTATGGTATTCCATCTAACCGAGTCGAGGAAGAGGGGCACCATCAAAATGATGAACATGGTTCCTCCCAGAAGAGAGGGGAGGAGATGGGAGGGGAGGAGGGGGGGGGGGGGGAGCACTGAGGAAGAAGGTGGGCAAAAGAGACCCGCATCATCCTGAAATGAGATGAGGATGCGTAACGGGACACTTTAAAGCAAGCACTGACCAGTCACAACGTTGCCAACGGCCTGCTCCGGCCCAGACGCTAATTGTGGCCCTAATGCCATGCCGTTAGGACTAAAACCTCGCATTACCAGGCGATCTCAGGCAGCTCAACGGCTTTCTGCCGCCCTGGGGGCTCCACCGAGCATCACGAGGGGCCGTGAATGGCTTAAAGTGGTACATTAGTCCACACTAAATTGCAGCCGGCCTTGCGTTCTAGGACCCTCTCGTCCCTTAGTGCACCGGCGAAAACAGAGCTAAGTGATGCGGTCACTGGGATCCGGGGTCTTTGCGTATCTGGGTAAGCTCTGGGTAAGCTGGATACTGTAACAGCTCGCCGTGAATATGCACCTAACGGCGTAGCGTTCGCCTGTCCCACCCGGGAAATGGGCGTTGCCTCTTTCGAGCTCCAGTCTCCGAGCAGTTTGCAGCCTCAGTTCTAGTGCAACCACTCGGGGATTTTCTTGATTTCCCTGGGGCTTGACCCCTGTTCCTCTGAGAACTGTAGGATTTGCCTCCGTGGTGGATCCCCCCCTGATTCCGGGTTCCCGACTTGTCAGAATGTGGGAATGTGGGTAACAGTCCATGTGTTGATTTCCAGAGATGCCTATTTGGGTTATTTCCTTTTCTTCTTTGTGCGTTGGGAGTACCTGATCTGCTTCACGATCCAGGCATAAAGGTACCTAGACAAGTACCTAGACTCTAGGGTTGGATCTTTCCAGAACGTCCGCGACTTCAAAGCGGGTTAAGCTCGACGCTGTAAGACTCCCGCAGTGTTGCGCGGCAGGTCCATCGTTCGCAGGGCTTCATCTCGGTCACACTGCGTCGCAATTACGATGTCCTCGGGGCCAGACCCGTGCGAAATTGGGCCCGTTGATCTGACGGGCCTAGAATCCGCGTCCTCGTCTCCAATTTTTTCCCCCACTCGCGAACATGAACAGGAGCGTGAAAGTGAACGGGAACACCTGGGAGATGAGGGGATGGGAGGTCCGAGGCACGGTTTTCTTGAAGCGAAGCTAAGGTCTCAGATCCAGGATTCATTTTAGAGAAAAAAAAAAATAAAAACCCCTTGTAAAATCTAATATCAAGCCCCATATCATCCACATGGCTTGAAGGGCTGACGCGCTGACAGAAGGAGAGAATGCTACCGAACCGCACTCCGAGAACGACGGGGCCATGAATTTCCACCAGATTAAGGGACCGGTGGATCCTAGTCTTCATTTCGCATCACAGACATCCTCATGTACTGTACCAGAGACCGTTCAAATTCTCCGTGATTGGACATAGCTCTCGAGCCCCAGGTGGCGAAGCCCAACCCAACCCTGGTCGACCGTTGTGCAGAGTGGCGGTGGAGGGGCGGGTTCTTCATCTCCCTCGAACACGAGTTCTGTTCTGCCAAGCCTGTTTTCATCCGCCTCATATGTGCGTGTGTGTGTGTGCTTGATTCTTGGTTCTTGGTTTGATCGCCTCCTGCTTGACCTTGACCTTGGATTCAGGACTCCTGACTCTCGACCCTCATCCCTATTCCTCCTTGATTTTCAGTTCGTACTCCATGACTGACGACGCACAATTCATGATCCCTAATTCGTGCATGGTTTCATGATGGTTCCCCCCCCCCACCTCCTCCAGCTGCCTACGGACATTCCCGTAGTGCGGGTCGGGGTTATATACCCTTTTGCCCAATGCCGGTCGGCATCTACAGTACGGGCTCATCGATATCATGTCTGCGATGCAGATCCAGATGGGGGAGACGCGTTGAAGAAATGGGGCAACGGCCGAGCCCACTCCATTCTGGTCCGAAGCGAGGACGATCGGTGACGATCCCGGGTGGGAAGGTTGATTATGCCGGGATGGTCAAAGTCAAGAATAGCAAGGCCCACGAGCATGGGGATAGGGAGGTGTGACGGCAGAGGCAACTCATCACGCATACCGTAACAAGAATCAGCTCAAGCGAACAACTCGACGTATACGATGCGACATCAGCCAACCAGGGAGATAAGTGGAGAGGCCCAACGTCGGATCATCGCGACTAATGACTCAAGTGGAAGTGGCCGAGCTGGTGGCGCAGGCTCCTGCTGCTTCTATTTATTTCGCAGTGATCGCCCTAAATGTCCGACGCCTCCACCCGACCCGGTTTTCCCTCCTGACACTTCATTTCCTTACGTTTCATGCCCGCGAGGCACCGGGCCGTGAGATCCAGGATTCTCGATGTTTATGCCCGATGTGGCCTTTCTTTCTTTTTTTCTTTTTCATTGTTTTGCTTCTCCAGGGTCATAGGAAGCACTAGAGACAAAGACGGAATTCGAGGAAATAGGAAATGCATGTCGGAAAGTCCGAGAACGAGAAGGGTAGAGTTTCACTGGGAATCGTGGACAAAATCCCCTCATGGAGTCCTCCTTACCCCACCTATGCAAAATACTTAAACTACTCAAGACTACTCGAGACTACTCGGGACTAGCTATGCTAGTTTGCGAATCTACGGGAGGCATGGAGTCTTCGTCGAGGTCCGCAAGTGGCAAATAGCGTAGGAACGCCACTGTTATGGTCCTAGGTACTACTGTAAATGTGTCCTCGCGATGAGATCTATCCAAGAACACTCTCAGTCACGGCCTCAAGATCTCTCCCGATCCAGAAGGAGCTGCGCCGTCGACTCGGCCGGATCTCGCAACCAATCAATCATGGGATGAAGGCCTTCGTCAGGCCTGCTCCACTTTTCATGAAACAGTCTGCCCTGTGGGGTTGTCGGTTCTCGTCTAGACTGTGTCCTTTCGCTCTCTGGCTCTGTCTCTGCTGGAACCGGTTCATGAGTGACCCTGATGCTGTCTGCTTGATGGGCTCCTATTCCAAGTACCCTAATAGGGCTACCCTGGATCCCCTAGGTGAGCATCGTCGGGGCACTTCCGACACTTGCCTCATCGGGCATTGCCAGGGCTAATCTTGACGAACCGTAGAAGGCTCATAAGCTGGTCGAGGCTCCTGCCGAATCAGACAGGAGTTCTGGGTCATTAGAAAGTGGGAGGAAAAGAGGAAAGGTGTTGAAAAAAAGATAAGAAAAGAAAAGACCACCGACGTTCTGGACTCCTAGATTCCAGACCGTTGCGGAGTCTGTTGATCGTCATTCTTGGGCCACGGCTAAACCACGGTTCGGGATGGAAAACCCCCCCAGCCTTCACCGACTGGCAGGAATGACAGATAAATCAATAGACTCGAATGGGATCGTTTCATTTCTGTGCCTGGTCGAGTCCATGGGTCTTCTAGGTCCCACTTGGAGCCAAGATCCTCTATGCGAGGTTCCAAATCGTTCAAAGTCTTGGCTTTATGTTTCGTGACAGGGCAAGGGAGAATCTATACAACCTCTTTACATAAGTTCTTTGTTATTCAGTCCTAGAACAAAGATTATAGTCGGAAAGGATATTCCTCGGAACTTCTTTAACACGGCGGTCTTGACGCCACGAAAGGAACCTAGCTCGGGCAAATATGAAAATACATAGCCGCTTGCCATTTCATTCTCAAGATACTGATCCGGAGGGTAAGCAAAGAATTTTTCTTTCTTCGCACTTATGGGTATTGGCGACAATTAATAGGTTTTGGGTCCTTATAAAAAGCAGAGAAAGTTTCTGTGATGGGACTCGAGATAAAGTGCAATATATTGAACACCCTTCGAAAGGGAGAGTGAAAGCTTCCAATATCGACCTTCTTGAGAAGTACATATACCTTTTTACAAGGCATAACGTAAGAATTTTGGAGCCGGCACCTAAGAATGAGGCTTTAATGAGGCGGATTAGGCGATTCATCTCGAGGCTCAGTAACGCAAAGTATTGACCCGTGCAGAGCCCAATACTCAACAACTGAGGGCCCCACGACGCAAAGAAATGTCAGAACGGCTTTGAAACCCCTGGAACACTATGCTATCAAAATGTGACCCTCATAATGCTCCTTCTCCTTCTACTCTTCAGGAACATTCTTTAGATCCATCGCACAAATCATATCCCGGAAGAGAGTCGACGTGAACTGGGCCCAGGTGGTATCCCGTGTGCACCCTGTGTCTGCCTGCTTTTCATCCAGGGCTATTGGGCAGGTCATCACAAAAAGGTCCTTTTGGATCAATTCCGGGCACGATTGTTTCAAGACTGGGATAACCCAGAAGAGTCAAAATTGGCCAACAAGACCCTGCGGCGCTTTTTCAAGAATTCTATCAACATCTTCAAGATCGAATGGGGCCATTCGTGTCAATCGTCCTCGCTCTCATGAATGGTTTCTTTCTTTTTGGTGCTGAGACAGATTGTCACCAGTCAAGAAGACTTTGATGACCTTTTCAAAGTCCATGTCAGAACTCACACGAGATGCGATGAAGGTCATATCGACAACACTTCTATAGCTTCAACTTTGCATCTAAGCGTTGCTTTCCCGCAGATTATTTTTATAATGTGACCGTGTAACCCTACAGCGTGCAATCGATGAACATTTCGAGGTCAAGTTGCTGGAGAAATGCTCCAGATGCAAGAATCAGATTCATCAGAGTCTCTTGAAAATGCGCCCGAAGTCCTTCAGCTCCAACTGAATTGTATCAATTTTGTCGATGGCCAAGTCATAAAAATCAAGGATAAGATCAGGTTCGAGGAGACGCTCAGGTTCAAAGCCAAATATTTCTACCCTCCGCCAGGCAACAACCCCCGGGGCGAAGCTTCATTACAGGCTTTCCTTTGTGCGAATGCACATTGGTGAGAGCAATTAGGACATCATTATATAGGTGTCCAGACTAAGGACAGAACAAGGACCGTGGTCAATGATGAAATCGTTTCGCATTTCGATACCTCTGAAGGGGGTGTTGACTGGCCCTTCCTGGGTTGTGAGATCAAGGCTACATCTTTACATGCCGCCGACTACCGATTGACCCAGCTATGATTGAGGCGACTGTCATCAGAACGGCGGCTTCAACCCCGAGCATAGTAAGCTCTGCGAGCTACGCCTCGATCTCTGGAACCCCTCTGCCATGAGCTAGACTTCCCTTCTCCTAAATCATTCGTGCCAACTTTGGGATTTAAACAAATCTTCAATATGTTGAAAGGGGGATATAGTGTATTGAAAGTCATGTGGACGCCTGGCGGGTTGAGGACGGAGAGCGCCCTCCGACCATGCCATTCTCGGCCAAGGGAAACTTTCAGGACGGAAAGGTGGATCAAAGCAGTTTGATCGTCAGTCACGACAGTGACGATGAGCCTGTTGATTACGGAGGTAGAGATAGAGTCGGAGATGGCAAGTCTAAGGCCATAGACGGAGGCACTAAGACTCTGATGCAATTCGTCCGCGACGAGTTGTCCTCAGTTAGAGGCAAATAACAAGATATTAGAAGTAGTAAACCTTTAAAGGGCGCTGTCAAGGGTGCACTATTAACTGGAGGTAGAGGTGTCAAAGGCTCACGAGTCACTAAAACCACCGAACCCAAACCTACACCCGGAGTAGTTTTCATCAAATCAGCAGCCGGATACTTGCTTTGAACAACAATAAGAGTATGAAGGAGGGGGGACAGAAATGAAGAGGATCAAGGTGAAGCTGAAGTTGAAGATGAGGGACTTGGATATGATGGTGGAAAACCCGATGGACACAGAGTGAATGGAGGTTATACGTCTACTTGAATATATTGCTCCTAAGGGCATATTCAATCTCTCATTGCGGGTATTTGGTTTGATTTGATTTTTCTTGCTTTCAATGGTAGATCGCAATGCTTCGTCAAAACGGACTCATCAGCATTGTCCCAGTCGCGTTAACAGGATTTCACTCTTACCATCAACCATCAACCATCGGCATCCAACCAATGGATGTCTCGAATCCCAATCCTCTCCAATCCACGAGAGGATTTGTGGACAGTTTGGTTACCGAGTTGGCTTTCCATACAGGTACTGATGTCCACGGAGGGGGCCAGCCGAGGACGCGGACTGCCTCAAAGCAAACGCAAAACGCCCTCTCGGGCCTACCGGCATGGCGACTGGCCAGAGTCAAGCCTCTGATGCTCTCACTGCACTGCGTATTCCCCAATGACCTTCTTCCGGCCCTCGACATCCTGGATCGCGGACTTGTGCAGCGTTTGGTGTGCCCCGATCACCTCGATGCAGTGATTGCCCAAGGTCAAACAAGTACTGCTGGTCTAAGCCCACCACACAACCCAGCTTCCAGCTCCGGACAGGCGATAGTACGGGAAGACATTTTCCTGGTAACATCTGCCTCGGACCCCCGAAGCGTCGCTTCATCTACCTTCGCCACGCAGCTACCAGAAAAGGGCTACGAGGTCCGCCTGCACGCGTGGAACTGTACCTGTCCCACTTTTGCCCTGTCAGCATTCCGTGATCTGCCCTCCAGACTGAGTTCTTTCACCGAGGCTCGCTCCCATGCCGTGCTGCGTGATCGGGATGAGACGATTGTCTATCCATTTGGTGGAACGCTGACTTGTGCGACGGACAGGGGGTCTCCACCAGTCTGCAAGCACGTACTAGCCTGTGTTCTGTTTGCTCGGTGCCCGGGGCTGTTTGAGGTCGAAGGAGACGGGAAGCGTGTGGTGTGTATAGAGGAGTTGGCTGGCTGGTGTGCTGGCTGGGGAGGTTGAACCTCGCAATCGGGCCATTGAGCGTCGCTCAACAGCCCAATGGTCGACTGCAGTGTTGTGGCCTATGCGCGCTGCGAAAGCTGTCGTTGTTTGCGAGCTCGCGCGAGCTCGTAGGAGCTGAAACGACCACGGCGAGGCGTCTCCTCTACTCAGCTGCTGCTACCCCCCGGATAGGATCTGAATTTTTCCCAAGGACTGCGAATAGGCGCAAATACTCGTGAGACAAGACCCGCGAAGGGAATTGACAGACCTCGGATGGAGTTCATGGCAAACTGCAAAACATCTACAGCTTCACAATGATCGGCTTCTGAACCCAGACGAAAATTGAGATGAGGTCTATCATGAGCATTACGCTAGATTATGGCACAAACATTATTTGACATGAAAGGTGCCAACAGCCACCGGGTCATTGCTTTGATTATCCATACTATACACTGCACACACGGCAGATGCAGTTCTAAGCGATCATGTCATATCGGCGGGCATCACGCCCCTCAAACTAAAGAGAAAAATAGAAAGACCATTTTAGCTCCTCTTCTTGCTCTTATCGGAGCTGTCCTGCTCTTCCTTTTGCTCGCCGTTCGGTGAGCCGTGGGCCTTCTTAGGGTCTTTATCGCCCTTGGCCGCATTAATCTCCTGCTCCCGCTTGGTCTCGTTCTCCTCCTGCTGCTGTCGATTCTGGATTTTGTTCTCGATTAGGTCGTGGAAGGCCGTGATGGCACGGATCAAACTGCTGATGTAGATTGCCATCAGCTGATCGTTGGTCTTGACACTCATGGCGCGCGCAAGCTCGCTGTTCTCCATCTGAGGCTCCTGGCCGCTGATGCGCTGTGTCGTAGGAGGGGTGGACAGGTTGGGAAGAAGGTTGAATACATCCTGGAGGTGGCCCAGGATCGCGTGGTTGACCGGAAGCTCCTTGTCGAGGACTTTCTGGAGATATTGGCCGATATCACGCAGCCGCAGGTGCAGTCCTTGCAATGACTGCAGCTGTGAGGTGATGCGAGTGGAAAGGGTGCCGACTGCGACGTCTCTGATGTCTCGGAGCAGGTGCTCCACGCCAATTTCCTCCGCTTCCTCGGCCTCGATTACCGACGGGGTGTGCACGAATGTCTTTGACGTCGTTGTTCCATCCTAGTAGAGCGAATGCCGATTAGCCCCATCACGAGGTCATTGACGGACGCCCGCCGCTGTGCGTCCAGCCACTTACATCCTTGATCTCATCCACCGCGAAGTAGGCATCTGTAGGCACGCCGACCTCCTTTGGCTGGACATCAACGATGACCAGCAAAGGATTAGGAGTGTATTTCTTGAAGAGCTCGTTGATCTCCAGATCCGAAGCACGCAGCTTGGGGCCTGAGTGATACCAGCCGACTAGCTTCTCACGAGCATTGATCTTCTTGAACATGTCCCTCATCGATTCGACGAAATTGTGATCCAGGAACCAGACAGACGGGTCCTTCTCATCCTCCTCGAACGGAACTAGACAAAGGAAACAAAGACTATTAGCTCATATGACAGGCCTGTAATCAACCATCGAAAGCTTGAACATACCAGCGAAGCTGTTGGAAACTCGTACATCATTGCCGAGTTCTCACCCAGAAGTACACCGACTACACGTTTCCGGGTACCCTTGGCTGTCCGGCCATAGTGATCGGCAACGGAGAGCAGGACTAACGGGGCAACCGTAACAGAGCGGTTGACGAGGGATAGCGTGTCCGCCGTGGTGGCAGGCATGGCGGAAAGGGTGAAAGAGGAGAAGTCAGGAGTGAGTTTGAGCTGGAACAGATCACGATACTAAAAGGGGGGAAGCCGATAATTTGGATTCGAAGGGAGAGTGCTTTGGATGGTCGCAAGAGTAGGGCGATGATGCTCTCCAAGCTTCGATGCGCCACAGGTGACTGCGCCATTGTGGCTAGAGCATTAGTCATCATATGCCTGAGCGCCTGAGGGCTAAGGTTGAGAACAATTGGTTTTGTTGAGAAGAGCACGAAGTATAGAGACTCAGAATAGTGTGAGATTCAGGCGACGAAATACTGACACCAGGCTAGTTATGTGTACAAAACGACTCTGTTCCTATAACACAATCACTTTGTAGAAAGCATTCGCTGACGTAGGTTCAATTGTAGAGCCGTGGCGGAACTCCGAACCTCGGGCGCTAAGATTCCTTCCCTTCCGGTTCTCCATTTCTCCATTTCTCCGTCTTCAAGCCTTGCCTTCCCCAACCTCTGCAATCGCTGCTCCTCACGTCCTTTAGAGTCGCCTCTCCCCTCTGAATCACCATGGCCCCTATCACTGATGAGATCGTGTCCGGTCTGAAGGACACCATCGGCAAGCTCGAGGCTCGCGTTGTCGATCTCGAGAGCCGTTTGTCAGGCGACAGCAAGCCCAAGTCGGTCACAGAGCAGATGCGCATCATTCTGATGGGTCCTCCGGGTGCTGGTATGCTTCTGTAACATCGTCTGAAGAGTCAATGGTTGTTAACGCGTTGCTAGGCAAGGGAACTCAGGCCCCGAAAATCAAGGAAAAGTACTGCGTGTGCCACCTGGTGCGTAGCAACCGATTTCCCCGGGTGCAGGATGAAAGGATTTTTGCTAAACATTAATCCTTATAGGCTACTGGAGACATGCTGCGGTCACAGGTCGCGAAGAAGACCGACCTCGGCAAGGAGGCTAAGAAGATCATGGACCAGGGCGGCCTTGTTAGCGACGAGATCATGGTCAACATGATCAAGAGCGAGCTTGAGAACAACACCGAGTGCAAGAACGGGTAGGAATCACCGCCGCCGAGCCGAAATTTTTGGTAGACTGACATTGGGGTGACAGTTTCATTCTGGATGGTTTCCCGCGCACAGTCGCACAGGCGGAGCGTCTGGATGACATGCTTGCGGCGCGTCAGCAGAAGCTTGGACACGCTGTTGAGCTGCAGATTGACGACTCCCTGCTTGTGGCTCGTATCACCGGCCGTTTGGTGCACCCTGCTTCCGGCCGCTCGTACCACAAGATCTTCAACCCCCCCAAGTCCGACATGAAGGACGACATCACCGGCGAGCCCCTGATCCAGCGTTCCGACGACAACGCCGAGACCCTGACCAAGCGCCTGGCCACTTATCACGCTCAGACCGCCCCCGTGTGCGAGTACTATAAGAAGACCGGCATCTGGCGCGGCATCGATGCCAGCCAGGAGCCCGGCCAGGTCTGGAAGAGCATCCTCGGTGTTTTCAAGGCTTAAGCGCGGGAAGCTCTTTCAAAAGCTTCAAAAATTTTGTGGAAGACAAGAGATGATCGGGCAGCTCGGCTTCGTGAGGCTCTCCGTTTTCTTTTGTTTTTGGGTTTGGTTCAGGGAGAGCACACAACAAGTGCGAGCTGGCACAAAGTCCTCATATAGACACAGAATAATAGTCTTCCAGGGCCATGTATAGTATATGTACTTTTCTGGTACCTATGATACTGTCACCGACCATATTCCCTCGTAGAAACCATCTACCTGATGCCATGGCGGATGGCTACAACATCATAGAACTGCCATGTAAGAAATTAGTGATATCCTATATGTACTTGTATTCTTTTACATTATCTACAGCTGTAGCGGATACTCCGTCGACTCAATCGACTGGGGATAAGTCAAACCGCCTTGCTTGCGCACCTCATCCATGACCTCCATGATGACGATGCTCTCTTCCCACGGCAGACCCTCGCTCTCCAGCTTGCCATCCCTCAGGCAGCGAGCAACCTCGTCCGCCTCCCAATACATACCATGGCCCTCAGCAGGGAATGAGCCCTCCACAGTCCGAACTTCGCCGAGGCCCTTCTTTGGGATAAGACGGAAGCTCTTTGGGCGGAAGGGGTTTCCAAAAACCTGAATCTCGCCCTTGGTGCCCTGGATACGAATATTGGGACCGGCGGTGCCCTGCTCATCGGGGTCACCCGCAACACGGATATTGGTCATGGCAACACCCTGCGAGCGGTGCGGATGCGGGCCATTGGAGGGTGTGCTGGTGGGGAAGCTTAGCAGGATCGTGGTGGACTCGTCGGCACCGGTGAGATGATAAGGGGTCATCTGTGAAGCGACAGTCGGTGCTTTTCTCTGGTCTCGAGGCAGGGTGTGGTAGAGGGTCTGGAAGACCCAGGTGAGGGAGTAGATGCCCACTTCGATTTCAAAATATATCAGCACAGCTTCGATCGCACAGTGGTCTCAGAGAAGAGAGAGACTGACAGTCCAAAAGAGCACCCCCAGCCAGATCAGGGTTGACCATGCGGTGCTGACTTCCCCATTTCTCCTCGACGTCATCGCCGAAGCTGGTGTCAGCAACAGTGCGCAGCACCTCACCAATTTCGCCCTTCTGAATTAGCTCGCGGATCTGAACACTGAGTGGGAAGTAGCGTGTCCAGACAGCCTCCATCAAGAAGAGGTTCTTCTTGCCCGCGGTCTCGCAGAGGATCTTAGTCTGTGCAGCGTTGACAGTGAAGGCCTTCTCGCAGAGGACATTCTTGCCCGCCTCCAAGCACAGCATCACATTTTGATAATGGTGAGAATGGGGGGTAGCAACATAAACCACGTCGACATTGGGATCCGCGACAAGCTCCTGGTAAGTCGCGTAGGCGGCGCAGGGAGTGGGGATGCCGACGGTTGAGATGAACTTGTTGGCCTTGTCCTTGGAAGAGGACGAGGCAACGGCGACGACCTTGTGGGCGACATCCGAAGCATCTCGAGCCTTGGGATCACGCAGAAGATCGCGGACAAACACTGTTGCGATTGAGTTGAGCTACGCTTGTGTTTTGCATTGGTAAGAGGAACGTACTGTCCGCGATCCAGCCGGTGGCTACGCATCAGTTAGCTTGTATACTAGACAAGACAAGCAAGAGCCGCATACCCATAATACCCCATCGAATTGTGTGGACCATGATGTAGATGTAGATGTAGATGGAGATATTTGATTGCAAGTCAAAGGGTCCCGCAGACTGGATTTTATGTTCCTACGGTCCGCATGTTCCTCAGTGGGGGAAAGTTGGACCCGGAGATGCGCCGAGCGGGGCACAAAAGCAACGTCATGATGCTACATTTTATGATACATGTTCACTGTTCGGTCTTGACTCGCACTTTCTGCCCTGGAGAGTCTCCCTCTGCCTTTCGCTTTCCCAGCACCGAGTCGGGCGTACCAGTCCGCGCTTGCGGTGTGGAGGCCCGCGGTGCTGGACCGTCCTTGGTCACCTCGGCGTAGCAACTGGCATGATAAACCCGATTGCCGACCTTCGCTGCGTCTTGCCAAATCCAGTCTTGCACATCCTCTGACCAAGTCGACTCGAATTTCTCCTGGCAGATGGGACAAGGTGTGTTTCGGAGAGTGGCTTCGTTTGGAGCCCGAATCCAGGGCTTGGGCGGTCCTTGCTTGGAACTTCCATCTGCTCCCGCAGTTCCTTCGGCTGTGGCCTCGGTGTCGTCTGGGTTTTGATCGTCACTGGGCTCTCGGGATTTGATCCAGTCCTATAGATAGCTTGGTTCAGCATTATGTAGACATATAAAGGATACTAGTGTATACAAACCCTTTCGTCAACATACCAGCTACGGGTCTGAGCTCGCTTAGCAGCATCGGCCATACGCTGATTAGTCTTAAAGTGCCAATCCAGATGACGGGCTTTCTTTTCCCGGCCTTCCTCCGTTGTGGGGAAGCGACGTCCACAAGTGCTACATTTGTTGGACTTCGCCTCGTAAAGCGAAACGACAAGAGTGATTCGAGGGCTATATCAGAGATGATCAGATGGGGAAATGCAATCAACTAACGACCGGACTTACATTTTCATAGATGCAGTGGTCATGGGCACGGTGGACGAAGACGGCAGGGATACTTGTGGTGTCGCAGAGGGAGGCGTAGGTTGTGCTTGACCAGGAATCATAAATGGGAGGGAGCCTCCTGTTATTGGTGTTCCAGAGGCCAGGGACGGTGGTGCGGAGGCAGAAGGCAGCAAGCCGCGGGCTCTGAGGGCCGCAATCAGGGGGTTTTCGGCAGGCTGTGGTGTGCTGGTGATGGGCATTGGAGGAATATTAAAAGTGCCTGGGGCGAACTGCGGTGGAGGCGTCGGCTGTTGGTTGCCGGCCGTTGCTTTGAGAAGCCCAGCGAGTATATCGGGATTCAACATATGCTGCACCGGTTGTGAAGGAGGTAATGTAGGGGGTGTAGCCACTGGAACTGGGGGTGCTGGGAGAGGGGCCGAATGCTCTTGCACCGGAGCTTGTGGGACCCCATATGCAGCGAGCTGATCGCGCACAGTTTTCAACTGATCTGGAGGAAGCTGCTGGCTTTGCAAAATTCTCTGAAGATCAAGCAGTGCCTTGAGCCGCTGTTGAGAGGTTGGATTAAAAGGGCTATTGGCAAAGTCGGTTCTGGCCGAGGCAATTAGCGCCTCCAAGTCCCTGTTAAGAGATTCTAGCTGGATGTCTGGACGATGGCCATAAGGAGGAGTCTATGGTGCGCGATTAGTGTGAAGACTAGAGTATATGGCACAGCATCCTTACCGGTGTGTTGAAGCCTACCCCGTTACCGGCTACAGGATGGTTCGGCCGCATGCCATGCGGAGGTGTAGAATTCCATCTAGTGGGAGTGGCACTGCTGCGACCCCGAATATCCGGCTGGCGAACTTTCTGGTTCTCAAGAATGGCGGTGCGTGCTTTGATTAAAGCGTTTTCGATGTTTCGAGTGATCTCGGGGGAGAAGACTGGTCGTGTGTCCAAGGAGCCCGGTACAGGCTCCTTCCACGTCCTGAGCATCTCATCGAGCTTGCGACGTGTCTGCTGATCAACCAGGGAGTACGCATTCATGAAGGTCTGATACATGTTCCGTCCCAGGAAGAGAGTGTAGGGGGTTCCCACGTTCTTCACGATAGAATCGACTACATATAGAGCAGGCAGCTTCTGCGACGGCGGTGTCTACAGAGACGATTAGAGGTCTACACCTTGCCACACGAGCGAGACACCTACTGTTCGAATATGGTTCTCCAGGACCCTCGAAATGGCCATTGCATGTTCCGTATTCTCCTTAGCAATGACGGTCAAGTTGCTGATCTGAAATCGGTCGTTGGTAGTGAGGTCTTCCAAGTTGTTCTTGTAGTCCTCGGCGACCTCATCGGATGCCAGTCCAGACATGGTGGCGTAGGGGAAGAAAAGGTTTGCTAGAAGGCGATATCAGTGAAGCAGCAAAGAACCAGGATCACAGTCCACTGAGATAAGATGTATGAGCCAGATCCAACAGGCCAAGTCTCCTGCAGACTCTCCGTACTCTCGCTCTCTTGTTTCTTCTCTTTTTTTCCTCTTCGAGGCTTCTTGGGCAGTGTTTTTTCTTTCTTTCTTGTTCCCGGTACACTCTCTCGGACAGCTCACTATGGCTTGAGTATTCTTGTTTTGCTCTTTCCAGGTGTGGTTTGATGAGGACCCCAGGCCTCAGTGACTATCACAGGATGCTTCTTCTTAGTCCTCGTTGCGTCGTCAAGGCAAACTCGCTTGGACGATCAACACGAGATGGAGAGAAAAGTCGAAACTTGTAAATGCTTGCTAGCTATCTTTGCGAGAAACGAGACAAGAACAGATGCACCCTCCAATCCAGCAAGATTCCCCCTGAGCCTTCCCGTCAAATCTGAACCAGAGGAGATGCAGCGCCGGTGAGATAGGAGAAAACGCGTTCGAAAGTGAAATCAAATGCAGAGGGGGTAGGGTCGGGTAGGATGCAACGCTGGAGAGGGAAAGGGGTGGTAAAGCTGTTGAGAGTTGGAAGTTCGGAAGACGTTGAAAGGGATTGTCGGAGTTGGGGTCAGATCACCTGATCTAGAATGACGCAGTAGTCCGCTTTGGGGCACGAGACATACTTCTCGCAACTTGTGACTTACAACTTACGACACTCCTTCCCCCATCTAACCATCTGCGCATTAGTTTACATTTTCAGGACTGAAAATGAAATTCTTCCTTCTGACTGCCCTGTTGGGTCTGCTTCCGCTGGCACTGGCTGCCAAGGTACTGAAGTCCGTTATCGTGACTTTCCCCAATGGAACGCCTTCCGGAGTAATCGATCAGGCGAAAGAATCAATCGTGGCTTCCGTACGCACATCGCGGCACTCCATTCTTCAACCATGACTAACTGATACCTATAGGGTGGCGTCATCACTCATGATTATCGTAAGTTGACATGTCCTACCTCGGCTCCCGTGGACAAGGCTAACCCATATCCTCCGATACAGATCTTATCAAGTATGACTATCCTCGTTCTTTTTCAACTTTGTCTTCACAACTAATGTTCATGGTACAGCGGATTTGCTGCGGACGCTCCAGTGAATGCTCTCCAGACACTCTCCACACAGGATACCCAATACAAGCCGGAGATTGAGGAGGATAAGATCGTGTCGATCAATGGCGACTTCGAGGGCGAGGAACTTTCTCTTTGAGCGGTCTGTGTCTTCCGCCAGGGACTTTGAAAGACATGCACCACAGCTGGCTCTGGGGAACGTGTGACGAATAATATACCTCGGCTGGAATCGGCCACGATGCAATTCGAGAGGCGCGCTTTTTTCTCATCGAATCTTAAAACAATGGGGAATATCTTTGGTGTCTTGGTCTACACGACTCGAATCTATGGACGATAGCCGCAGGACGCGCGATCAATGGCCAGGAATCCGGAGGATCATTCCGCTTGGTAATTAAATATATTGAACAAATTTACTTTTATTTTCCGCGAGCTCTTGAAAACACTTGAGTACGGATTTCCAGTGTACATGGTTCTTCCATAGTCCCTCTGAGATTGGGAGGCCGATCATCCCCGCTAGTGACCCGGCCTTCCTCGCGTCCCTGAAACGCGTGGATCCGCATCTTCCCCAAGGTCAACTATCTGTCCCCGCCCCGTGGTCTTGGGGAATGCTGCATCCAATTTTGAAAATCTAAACCAAGAAGCTCCGTCATGGCGGAACACATGGTGACCAAGGTTTTGCTGGAATGGATCAATAGCTTCTCCTTGGGCAAAACACTCCGAGCCACAGATGAATTGACCGATGGAATCATCCTATGGGAGATCCTCCAAGATATCGACCCGCAGTATTTCCTTGATGAGATCCCCGAACGCAATCCCGCTGACCACTGGGTCGCCAAATGGCAGAATTTGAAGCATGTCCACAAGCTCCTGCTCAGCTACATTCGGCACCAGAACGACGACTCCCTTCCGACCGGTCTCGATCCTTCCCCTGATCTCGAAGCCATCGCGGAGAAAGCATCGACCAAAGAAACCAACAAATTGTTGAAACTTCTCCTTATCGCGGCCATCAGCTCCCCCAACGCGGGAACATACGTGCAGACACTTCAGGAATTAAGCACCTCGACCCAGGAGGGCCTTAAGGACATCATCGAGGAGGCGCATAACGGTCAGCATGAGCCCTTGGATGTGGCAGACGAGTTGAAGGAGGAATTGGCGAAACGCGATCAAGCGGTGGACCCTGAGCTCAAGTTCGAGGAGCGCGTCGGAAAGGTGCTTGCAGAGAACGATCGTCTCACCCACGAGAAAAAGGAACTGGAGAAAGCGCTAGAGGACTTGCACAATCGTTTGGCGCGTCTGCAGGAGAACAACGACACTCTCCAGAATCGTCTGGCCTCTACCGAGGATCGCCTAGTGACGCTGAAGTCTGGAAAGGGTGATTTGGGTTTCAACGCGAAGGCTCTGGAGAGCAAGACGCGCCAGCAGGATGATCTCATCGCGTCACAGGAGGCCAAGCTTTCTGCCACCCAAGATGAAGTCGACAGTCTTCGTATGACGGTAGAGTCCTTGAAGGTCAAGAACCAGCGGTACCAAAAGCTGCAAGATGACTATGATGAGCTCCGTACGGAGAGAGACCAGCTTGCTCGCAAGGCGAATGCAGCTGAGAAGTATCGCCAAAAGCTCCAGGCCAGCCAGGATTTCGAAAGGGAGAACCAAACTCTTAAGAACCAGATCAAAGACCTCCAGCAACAATTGAAAGAGTCAGATTCGCAACAGCGTTGGACCTCTGAGCGCGACGTGGAATTGGAAGAATACCGCAAGCTCCTTCCACGCATTGAGCAGGAGTGCAATGAGATCCAGAACCTGAAGAAACAGCTCGAGTTCAACAATCACGCACTTACTGAGAGACTTCAGGGCGCGGATGAGCAACATGAGCGAGACGATGCTTTGATCAGCGAGCTTCGTGAACGCCTTCGAGAGATTGAAGGCTTGCCAGGCAGTCCATCGCCGGGCTCCGACACGCCCAAAATGCAAGGCACCCTTAACAAGGATTTCGAGGCAATCGGCATGAAGGACTCTCAGCTGTATGTGCTTGCGCTATCTACGAAACGGGTGATTATGGCTAATCAACGCAGTAAAACCGAGAACGACGATCTAAAGCGAGAGATGGAGTCGATGAAGGGATTATCGACTGTTGTAAGTCTACTGTATTCCTCCGTGTGGGCTCTGAAGCTGACACCCCAGGCGGAAAATCAGTCAGAAGGCTTTTCCGAGAATTTCAATGCATCTGTGCAGCTTGCAAAGGCTAACTCCACGCAAAGGTATGCATACCTAGTATGCTTTGCAACCACTTGCTAACGATTCCCAGTGACGAATACTGGAAACTATACGAGAACTACACTACCACGCTAAAGAAGATTGCTGAAGTTCAGGATACTTTGGAAATCACCAGGAAGGACCTGTCTGACGCGCAGACTCGGCGTATGAAAGCTCTCTGGAAACACACCACGGGAGAATCTGCTAATTGCTGTCTAGTTGGTCTTGTCGACATGGAGAAAGCCGAGATGTTCCGAGAGCTTGAAGAGCACAACTCAGGCGAGCTGTCAAAGCTTCGCGGTGAATGGAACAGTCTTGCCCAGAATGTGCGCCACTTGGAAGCCGAAGTGGATGCCAGTCAGACCTTGGTGCGCGAAGTGTGTTCTGAGCGTGAGGAGTTGCGCAAGATGCTCGACAACAAGCAGAACGAAATCAGTGCCGAGGACCAAGAAGTGATGAACGAGATGCAGATGCTGTTGGGAGAGTTTGAGACCCATAACAGTGAGGGCAGTGACATGTCTCAGAAGTCGAGCTTTGAGCTCCTTAAACAGTGTGCCGGCGTCTTGGAGAAGAATGTCGAGCGACTCGCGCAGCGTGCGGAGGTCAGTTCCAGCTTTCAAAGGCTCCGTGCAAGGAAGACCGCTAACTCCAATGATCTCATAGTATATCCAGCAGCAAAACGAGCTCATCAAGTCGCTCCGGGAGAGCATGAAGAACTACGAAGAGAACCTGGATGATGGCATCCCTAAGGAGCGTGAAGTAAGTCTCTGAATGCCCCGTTATTGAACGGCTCCGTACTAACCACACCCAGATCGAGCTCCAAAAAACCATTGACGATCAAGCCCGAGAGCTGAGTCTCGTCAGCTCAGCCTGGTACCACCTTCAGACCCGATGGCAGAATAACAACATGACTGTCTCGCGATACCGGCACGGTGCCAATGTGGCCGATCCTCGAGGCTGGCTAGCCAAACAAAGAAGTGTGGTTGCAGGCCAATAGATCCCGAGGGTCGTCGCTCGAAAGGCACCATTTCTTTCATTTGGCTACAGATTCTGTTTATATCCCCACTAGATCGTCTATTGTTTACCTTCGGACCGTATGCTTCCTTGCGGCATATAGAATGTGTGTTTTTTGTCTGTCTTTAGTTTTTTTTTTTTTGTTGTCCATCAAACTGAAGAGGCCAGAACGATATTTCAAATGTATATTTGCAACACGATCGAACATTATTCCAGCATCTTGGTAAGACATGAAATTATCTTTGATTCGAAAAAGTGTATCTGAAAGAAAACTTGCGCCGCCTCATGTGTCGTCTGTATTAGTCAAAATTTATTTGCTATGATAAATCAATATTTTGTCATTTTTCTTCATTGATGGGCTTGTGGTTTAGGGGTATAATGCTCGCTTCGCATCTGTTTAGCGTTTCTGCGAGAGGTTCCCGGGTTCGATTCCCGGCGAGTCCAAATTTTTGTTTAGGCTTCCATTTGATTCACTATTTCCTGCAAAGCCGTTGACTTTTAAAGGAGAGAAAAAATCAACATAAAACTCATTTTTTTTTTTTACCTGTGCGAGGAGAAGATACATTTCTAGTAATGGCCAATCGAAGCGGTTTGCAATGCGCCATCAGCATAATGGTGCGAAATCATCTGCTCTTCAAAACAGCGAGAGCAATCTTATGTATCGAACCCCTTCGTATTTGCCAATAGTCTCTACCAACTGTCAGAATTATTTTGAGAGAGATTGAAGTGATGTTTAAGTAAACATTGGGCCTGAATGGTCGTCCCTAGAGCAGGGTGTCTTACCAGATCTCACTGATTAGTATATTGTTCACAATGCTTTCAGCTAATGGACTGATAAGAAAGACCATACCAGGAAAAAGTATGGATCTTTGTCACTACTGTCTCAGTCTTCCGAACCGTATCATCCATGATCAGAGGGATCTTGCTTTGGGTGTTGTGGCACTGTACAACACCTCGATGACCCTTCGGAGATGAGCTTACACGGTTTCTCTATCTTTACCTTGATTTGTCCTTCGATTTCCATTTTCTGAGTATTGCGAGGGAGCGTCTCGATAGCTTCCCTGGTTTGGAAAGGATTGCATTTCTTTTTGTACGTCCGGGAAAGCTTCACTTTTAACATATCGAGGTGGTTTGTATGAATATTCCACCGGGTTCTCTTGATTTATCTCCCAAAAAAGATACTTTCCAAAGGAGCCTGATTGTACGCTCGAGCAAGTATTGAGGCATGCCTGAGCCAAACGAAGCATGCAAATGCTCCTGGACGTTGAATTTTTCCTGTCAGTAGTGGCAACTACTTGGACTTACTTCGCTGCTTGCGCCTTGGCGTCGTTCAACCTCTTAATGTCGTCAAAAATGGGCTGATCCTGTTCAGGGAATAAGCTTCAAATAGGAGCATGATGCACAACGCTGGACCGAGAAACTCTCCAGCGCACTCGCGGGCACGATTACCCATAGCCCAACCGGGTTCCCAGGCCAACGAGTGCTCTCAAAGGTGGAAAAAGTCATATTGATTCCCAAACAGAGATAGCGAGTCTGATGTTTACTTCACCACTCGCATCCTGTGATGGGCGTGTGTGAGTTGATCCACTCGACGGGCCATTTTGAACAGGCTTGGATGTAGATAAATGCATACAACTGAACAGCCAGGACATCGCTGCTGAGGAGATGAGACAAGCGATGCTGCAGGAAACCCCGTTCCGTCAATGTCGAAAGGGACTACTATTGCCCTAGAGGAGTGTCCTGAGAGCTTCCCGTCACTGCTCAGCTAACCCGCACTGTCTTTCAATGCTGGATTTTTGACCGATGTACGTGGCCACAACAACGCTGCACGATCCATCTCGCCAATAAAATTGCAAAGAAATGGCTTCATGTGAACCACAAAACAGGTATTAAGAAAGCGATCTCGTAAGACGTCGCGATCGGTGTTGCTAGCAGCGACATCTCGAACAATGGAATCAATGAGGAGAGGCGTGGCCGTCTCGCTTCAACGGGTGGCACTGGCAGCAACACTGGTGCCAGAAAGCAACAACAAGACGGCCTCAAACAGCCATCATTTTTCATTGAGAGTAGTCCCTCAATTGTCGAGGGGGGGAGATCTGGGTTGGACAGCTCACGGCCAATTATGTCCCGATATCATAACGGGAAAAGTGATTCATTTGCCAGATCTTTGTGTTGTTGACATGTTTATTCTATATCGATTGCCGCTCCGAATTATTTAAAGTATCTCAGAAGCTTCAGTAAAGGTCTGGAGTCATATGCCGTTCAATCTGCTAAAGCCACGTCTACGCCTTTTAGTTTCTGGTACTGGTATTATAACTGGGCTTGTGAACAGATTCTGTGCATGCTTTTCTTCCAAAGTTCCAAATTAGTCTATCACAATGCTTTGTATTTATCTTTAATATCACTAAAGATTCATCTCTATAGAGCAAACTGCACTCATAAGTCGTCGCCACCTTCCGAGTGTGACTATAATTGCATACATTCCGAAGCAAATCTCCTGACCTTCCGCACACGGAAGTAGGGCTCGAGCCCCACCCGTGATCCACTCGAGAAACAGATTTTTTTCTTTCTAGCCCAAGTCAACTTCCTACTTATATTATTGATCTGATGTCTTCTGTATATTTCGATCGAATTGATGACATTAATGGCCGAGCTGGCGCATTCCATGGCGATTAATGGCTATTGTTCACACCGGACCGCCCCTGTACTTGCAACCAGTGCAATCAAGGTGGATCCCACTATGTTACCGATGTAGGCGGGAACATGCAGTGATCAACAGGTGGAATTGCTGATGAGTTAGACATTAAAAGGCACCTGTAGCTCAATTGGTTAGAGCATCCAGCTTATGTAATCATCCCCACAGGGAGCTTCACATGAAAAATCCTGGAAGGTTGGCGGATCGATCCCGCCTAGGTGCACATAATTTTTTTCATTCTTTTTCATTGCTACGCTTGGTAAACGGCGATAGGACACTTCAGCTTAATTCTGGGTAGATAGGGCGAAACACATAGCTTTGAAGCGTCTGTCTTTTGTTCTTACTATATATCTGGTTAGTTTCACGGTATACAGCGACATGCACCACCAGCTCAAGTTTTGGTAGATGGGGTCAAAGACTTATGCTATGCTTGGCTACGAAATGAAACTAGTGAAAAGGCTGGTTTTCTGGGCTTGAGGAATAACAGATCAAATTCAATCAAAGTCAAGCTTTGATAGACAGGGAGACAAATTTGAGCCGCTCTCTCCATCCACACCACCCGTGAGGCTGTCGCCGACGCCCTGTACCACTGTTTCCAGATTAGACACCACATACTTCATCAGCAATGTGCGTATCAATGTGGAGTGGAAGGGGCACCTTCAGCCTCGACGAATGCTTCTGCAATTTCCCAGCACTTTCGTCCAGGCGCGATGAACTTGATGGCTGGCTCGCTATACGTTATTGATATTGTGAAGGGTAACGCAGATGGGCTCTGCGGCTCTGGAAGATGAAGAATTGGAAGATGAAACTTATCTGAATGACAATTGGGGTGTGATGAGTGGTTACTGATGCGTAGACCAAAAAAAAAGCAGGGCATGAGAATTCTTCTTGAGAGGTGTGAAGCTAAGACTGCCAATGTATAGCTGATCAAGCTATTTTAGTATTTCACGGAAGATGTGAGAAATCCTTGAATTCCATTACTGGTGTACCAATTGAATATTTGTTCATAGGCTAATTTACATGAGGTGTACGTATGTAGACGTTGGAAAGGGGAGAAGAGTATGCAAAATTCACCCTCCGGGAAATGGTCGGATTTTAAGCCCACTGCCGCGGGTGCTTCAACACATCCATGATCTCCTTTTCGCTAATCTTGTCCTCGGCCAGATCTTCCTCCTCTACCGGCATGCTCTCAGTCCTCGTACCCGAGACAGGGTCCATATATGCCCAGCTCGCAGTACGCGGGAGACTCATGAGGATACTCTCCACGCGGGCGTTGGGAGTGCGCAGGCCGAAGCTGGTACCACGATCGTAGACCAGGTTGAACTCGACATAGCGGCCACGGCGCAGCTGCTGCCACTCTTTCTGAGATTCGGTGTACGACATGTCCTTCCGCCTTTCAATGATTGGCACGTACGATGGCAGGAAAGAGGCCAGGCCGTCCGAGACGAAGGAGAACAGGGTCTCCTGAGGGTTAGAGGACGAGCCAGCGGAGGTCTGGAGGAAGTTGGCATCGAGGTCATCGAAGAAGATACCACCGATACCACGGCATTCACCACGGTGAGGCAGGTAGAAGTACTTGTCACACCAAGCCTTGAACTTGGGATAATAAGTCGCGTCATGGCGATCACATGCATCCTTGATGGTCTTGTGGAAGTGCTGAGCATCCTCGGGGAAGAGATATGACGGTGTCAGATCGGTACCACCTCCGAACCACCAATTTTTGTCACCATTGATAGGGTCCTTAGGATCCGAGGTCTCGAAGTATCGGTAGTTCAGGTGGACTGTCGGAGCCATCGGGTTGTGCGGGTGGAGAACCAGGGAAAGACCGGCAGCAAAGAAACTCAACGACTCGACATCAGCGCCCACGAAGGACTTGTGATCGGCACGCATCTTCTCAATGGCAGGCCGAGGCAACTCGCCATACACAACGGAGACGTTCACACCGGCTTTCTCAAAGACGTTACCGTCCTGCAACACGCACGAGATGCCACCGCCGCCATTGGGGCGTGTCCAAGTATCTGTCTTGAATTCCTTGCCATCTATCCTGGCCAGCTCTGCAATAATCTTCTGCTGGTGGTCCTTGATGAGCTTCTCCATTCGTAGGCGCATGGGGGAGGATTCGGTGATAGGAGAAGACTTCTTCAGAGCGTCATCCAATTCAGCGATAGAAGGGGAATCGAGGTCAGTCACTTCGCCAGTGGCCTGCAATGATTTTAGCTAGTTGCTCAGATCGTATGTAGAGACCTCTTCGCATACCATAGAGTAGATGATGGCGCCAATGAAAGGGACGCCAATTGCAAGGCGCAGATATGGTCGCCACACGGTGAATTGCTGCTTTTGACGTGGATTCTGCTCCGTAGCGTACCCACGGAATGATTTACCTGCACTGCGACCGGCTGTGCGAGCGCATGGAGCAGACAGCTGGCCGAACCTCCGAAGAGACCTGAAAGATCGTGAAGCCATCGTCGCGACGGAGGAATGTCAGCGCACCAGGTGGAATCAGACAATGAGAGCAACTGGACTAGACTAATGCCAATCCAATGTCTTCAAGATAAGGTGAAAAGCAAAGTAAATTTCCGTGGGCAAGTTGCGAGATCATGGAACTCTCGGTCGTACGATTCTCTGTGTTTGTCCAGTTTGCATGGATGAGATAAGCACAGATAAGCTCCTACAGTTTCCCCAGGTATCATTCCAGGTCTATCTTTGAGAGATCAGTGAGTTAGTTGGAGCGCCGCACCATCCGTATATAACTGCTTAAGGGAAGACTTTGTCGCGTCCTTGAAACAGGCACCAAAATGAGGCATCGAAGACTAATATCAAGGACCACGAAATGCGGGATTTGATCCGCGGAGTCAAACATTCAGAGCAAGGTGCGTGTTTACCAGAAGGATCACTTCCACAGCAAAATCGAGGTACAAATCCGAAAGTTAAATCGATTCTATGATGGTGTGTGAAACCAATATGAACGCGCTATCCACAGTCAAATTCAGTATACCTGAAGGTCCCGACCTACGCTGAAACGATTACTCTGCGGTGATTCGGCCTAATAGCAAAGGCATAACCAGTTAATGAAGCAACACTTCGAGTCTGCAAGAATGAATAACATTATCTCTTTATGCAACAGCCGATGAGCTCTCCTCACAGAGGGGGGGGGGGTTTAACGGAGCGATTGAGGGGGGTCAGACTGGCTTAGCATGGCGAAGAAAGCTCGGTGGTTGCTCAGTTGCGATATTCACCACTTACCTTCCGTATCCTAGACCAGTAGGTTTTCTTGTAGCTACCGCAAGGTGCAAGTCTCGGTATCTGGGACCATTTGGGGGCCGGTCCACTCCAGGCAAAAAGCTCAAGAACGTGTCGGACAACCTCCGCATCTTATTCCGGACTTCCGTCAACTCACAAACAACTTCACCGACTATCGTCGCCTCTAGAGGAAGACATGGCCTCGTTTACAAACAAAATCACCCCATCTAGCTTCATATGATCGCTTTCTTGAGAAATGTGGAGATTGTCTCCTGATCATGTCCAAAAACAAAACGCGTTTCCCGAGAAGGTACACCATTCTGGACTTACTTGGATCGGAATATAGGCCACCCGGCTTGCAAAGGGCGGAGCTAAGGAGCCGTAATGGTATCTAGAGGCAACCCAAAACACAAGTGACTACATCTGGGCGGTGCGGAGCATGGTTTGGTCACTTACATTGGTCACATGTAAGTCAAAATCCTCCGCCCAAAAGTGCCGGAGAAGTCTTAGGTAAAGCATACAGGGCTGCCTTCCTAACTGGATAATTCAAGTAATCAACGAACACGGTCTTTGGAAGTCGGCTCTAGTTTTTGTCTGACACGCAGAATACCGGCCGGTTTGTACAGAAGATACCACGCAGTGAGGGCTTGTGAGACATGCATTTCAGGCCCGTGAACTGCTTCAACAGTTTATAATGGTGAGAATATAGTTCATCCAAAGAAGATTTTGTGCAAGTTCTTGGAAAAACATCTGTTAAGATCAAGACAATTGGGTCGATGCAGAAAAAGACGTCCTGACCTACCCTAGAAGATAGGAAGAAGGTGCTGATGGGAATCACGGAGATTATGGTGTTGTTGCATAACCTGGGAACGATCTGCGAGTCCGAAGGGAACCTGTTCGAGGCAGAGGGAGCATTACAACGAGCACTGCATAGGGAGGAGTGAGGGGGGTGGGGAATTCGGTCGAGGTAGCTTTTGCTCATCAAAGTCCAATCAAGCCTCCTCCTAGGGCGAAGTCTGTGTGAAGCTGGCGATGGCCTATGGATTCGCCAATCTCCGCTTGAACAGGTGAATCTGGCCGAGACAGAAGAACATGTATTGGTTGACCTTGCACGGCTGCAGAACGGCTCATCACGACCACCAATCATTGGCTTTGGGTATCTTGGGCGACTTGCCCCGCCTCTATCGCCAGCAGAAGAGGTCAACAGAAGCCGAAAAGATGTGCAGCTAGCCATCACAAGGATACTCGAGTCAGATTTTTCTTGACAGCATGGAGCACCACTGAGGATGTGTGTGAGAACGGTACATCTTCATGCATCTCAAGAAGAACCAGCGGAGGAAGAGCATCACTATCTACAAGCCCTGATAGATCAAAACAAAGACAATCTGGATCTATACATCTTAGACGGGCGAGGTGGGTACGCTAAGCCAAATTAGGTATGACACCGTCTCCAGAGCCCCAAGAGCTCCATGTACATTATCACGGCTTAATACCCACTACATGGAATTTAAAGATAATTGTGTCGAACACGGGTATCTTGATGGCATACGTTACTAGGCCGGTTTGTATTTGACTTTCTCTGACCTGAGATACTTAATCACCAAGTCTGTCCTGATCCGTGGTGGAGAATCCACCTCGGCCGAGTCTACCGCAGCTCGAGGAGCACTGGTCTACCCAGACGTTCCTTCCAAGTCACTGCACTGTATCAAAGCAACAAGCATTGGGATTCGTATTTGCTATGATCCTGGCAGCCCTTTAAGTGAGTCAAACCAAAGACTTCTGGTGAGCACGTGCAAAGGTCGGCTGAGTCATGGGACAGAGGCTCACCGCCTCGTGATACCATCAGCGGGGGTTGCCTTTTGTCATCGACTGGTATCTCCCCCTCTCTTCATCTATCCTGGTCCCCCAACCCTTCCAAATATTTCTCCAAAACAGTTGTTCCAGCACCTTTGACCATTTCTAGCTCGTCTCTTTCTGAGCTTCCCCAAGAATCCCCACCTCTCCCGACCCGCTTTACTTATCAGGTCTTATCAGCCATGCGGTCCAAGTTCAAGGACGAGCACCCCTTCGAGAAGCGGAAGGCCGAGGCCGAACGCATCCGCCAGAAGTATAATGATCGCATCCCGGTGAGTCTCCGATAGCAGTCTTGATGTCCTCTCTCTGGAAGGGATGAGCTTGGAGGGCTAGAACACACCCACCCCTCACCGCTTGTTCGGTAGCTGACCGATTTCACGACAGGTCATTTGCGAGAAGGTCGAGAAGTCGGACATCGCTACCATCGACAAGAAGAAGTATCTCGTTCCCGCCGACCTCACTGTCGGTCAGTTCGTCTACGTGATCCGCAAGCGCATCAAGCTCTCCCCGGAGAAGGCCATTTTCATCTTCGTCGATGAGGTCCTTCCCCCTACAGCCGCCCTTATGAGCAGTATCTACGAGGAGCACAAGGATGAGGATGGCTTCTTGTACATCACGTATGTTTCCCTGTTTAGGCCCCTTGGGTGACCCTTTGGAAGAAAGCCATACTGATGCATTCCAGATACTCTGGCGAGAACACTTTTGGCGACCTCTAAGCGTTGATGCAATCGCTCTTCTTCGCCATTCTGAGTGGCCCAGGATGGCCCGTCGGGATCTTGGACGGGTGCATAAAGCGGCCTTCAGTGATGTTTGGCGGATGAGCCTTGCTCAGCCTCTGGGATTGTAGTTTTCATCGGTCACGCGGCGTTCTTTCGGCGTTCTGCGAATTTATTGCTTTTTTCTTATCGCTAGGCTATGTCCTATGCTTGCTTTTTGAATGAAATGAAACTAGTGGCTTACCCAACTAGACTATCTCTTCCAACAATCAAAGTACCGTAGAGGGTGTTGTGACAAGCGATGATTGGTGTGCGCAGCATAGATCGGGCAGTGGTAATTGCTACAGTGAGCATTGTTCTATGTCGTAGAAACCCACGCGACACCAAAAGTACCAAAACACGGACTATCGAGTATAATGATGGTACGGCCGCGATGCTCCGACTCCGGCCGCCCAAACAGGACTAGCGCCCCACCCGCGTCCCTGCGATAAAATTTATGAGATGGTCAGATTCCTGGGGATCATCCGGTTCACTCACTCTACCTCTGAACAATGTCTCCCGTTATCGCTCAAGCAGGTGCCGGCGCCGCCTCCAAGGATGTCAAGAAGGAGTCCGCGACCGCTCGTCTCCTCGGTTCCGGTAAGATGGTACCTGAACGTGAATGCACGACATCGTTCGCTGACCAGTAAATACAGGCTGTGCTGGTATCGCCGAGCTGCTGGTTTTCCACCCCGTACGAATCGACTGAACTGAAACCTGCCCAGATTCAGCACTGATATACTTCCCTAGGTCGACACCACCGCGAAACGTTTGATGAGCAACCAGACCAGGGTGAGATCGGACTCGATTGAAGATGCATGCGCTGCGATTGTCGCTGACTGAGGGTCCTTTAGATCACTTCGGCCACTACTTTCAACCAGGTCGTCTTTAAGGAGTACGCTCATGCCACGGTTGGCCGCAAGTTCACCTCGCTCTTCCCCGGTCTGGGCTACGCCGCTGGCTACAAGGTCGGTGTTTCTCGAACATATGGACACCTGTCGTCGCAATGCGCAGCCAACTGATACTATTCTCAAGGTCCTCCAACGTATTTACAAGTATGGTGGTCAGCCCTTCGCTCGCGACTACTTGGCTCAGCACTATGGCACCGACTTCGATAAGGCTTTCGGCAAGGGAACCGGAAAGGCCATCATGCACGCTACTGCTGGCAGGTGAGAATTATTGTGGTCTAGATCGTGGAATCTTGGGAGACTGACAGTATATTCCAGTTTGATTGGTATTGGCGAGATCGTCCTGCTTCCTCTGGATGTCCTGAAGATTAAGCGCCAGACCAACCCCGAGGCCTTCCGTGGCCGTGGCTTGTTCAAGATTATCTCCGATGAGGGTATGGGTCTTTACCGCGGAGCCGGCTGGACTGCTGCCCGTAATGCTCCTGGCTCTTTCGCTGTACGTGTCGATCACATCTTCCTATCTGGGATCTCTTTCGCTAACTTGCATTCTAGCTCTTCGGTGGATCCGCCTTTGCCAAGGAGTATATCTACAGCCTGACGGACTACAACACCGCCTCCTGGTCCCAGAACTTCGTCGCCTCCATCTGCGGTGCTAGTGCCTCGCTGATTGTCTCTGCTCCCCTGGACGTGATCAAGACCCGTATTCAGAACCGCAACTTCGAGCACCCCGAGTCTGGCTTCCGCATCGTCTCCAACATGGCCAAGCACGAGGGCATGGGCAGTCTCTTCAAGGGTCTCACCCCCAAGCTGCTGATGACTGGCCCCAAGTTGGTTTTCAGCTTCTGGCTGGCACAGACCCTGATCCCTGCCTTTGGCCAGGTTGTATAGAAAAGCCATGCTTGACCAGTTCTTTATAGCCGCGGCGTTTTTTTGACACTCCCCCTTTTCCGTTTCTCATTTTTCCTTCGGGTCTCTCAGACTTTGGCAGCTCTTCATTGGCCCGCCCGTGTATTTTTCTCCCTCATAGACATGGTTTATTATACTCCAACGGGGCTTAGTGGCAGTCAAGAAATTAAACAAATTCATACCACATCAAACAAAGACAGAGCTCTTTTTGTATCTCGAATTATATCCGTCAAGCTATCCATTGGAGAATAGGAGATGTCTGGACCAGACCATCTCCGCATATTTCATCACGTGATTCCATATCAAACCTCCCCAAGGCCCCCGCGTCACATCTTCGACTCGCTACACTCCCGAACTCTACGACCAGAGCACAAAGGTCATCATGACTGTCTATCTGCTTTCGAAGTAAGTGTTTCTCTATTCATGTCAACAAGGACATGTCACCTCCAGGCTAAGGCGGGCAGCTCTCGATGGTTCATCTATCACGGCGCTACTATCTTGCTCCCGGAACTAATATGTCTGCACCTTCATAGGATTGGTGATCCGATATTCGCACTCACAATGGGTGTCGCTGCCGCCATCACTCGCATTCGTCGCGACCAACAAGAGAAGAACCCAGAGAAGGCATCCGAGATTGGATACGGCACCATTGCACAGCTGGGTCAGCGACGGTTACAACGGTGGTGGAATGGAGATTTTCAAGACTTATGATCAAGTCATTTGACTTCCTGCTTAGCTTTCGGACCCTCTCCTGTACAAATATGAATTCTTTGGATTATGGCGGAACATTTTCCTCAATTCTGTAGTCAATGCTGCAACGCGATATGCTTCTGTTACATTTAGGAAGCAACAGCTTCACAAACTTAAGTTTGTTGGTCTATGATGATGATAGCCTACATATATTTACGAAAGAAGCAATTAAGCAAGAAGTTTTTGAAATAAAAATATTTTGAATTGGCTGGGGACTTTTACTGTCCCAGCAAAGATAAACCTTTATCTATGCAGTCATGCGCAAAAAAAAGAAAACTCGAGATCCCATAAGTCGTAAAACAAGACGTGAAAGGAAAAATGGAAAGCCGAGAGGCAATCATTAATGAAACCTGGAGCGATAAAACCTCAAATATGAGACATCTAGTCAAGTTCGGGACCGGCCTCCTCGGTCTCAGCGGGCTGATGGGGAGCGGCACCAGCGTCACCGCCGGCAGACTCGTAAGCCCCCTTCATGATGGGAGTGGCAACAGCCTCAAGCTCCTTCTGCTGAGACTCGTACTCATCCTTCTCAGCAGTCTGGTTGTTGTCGAGCCAAGAGATAACCTCGGAGACCTTCTCCTCGATCTTCTTCTTGTCCTCATCGGAGAGGGGGAGCTTGCCCTCGTTGATGGTGGATTTGAGGGAGTAGGCGTAGGACTCAAGGCCGTTCTTGGCCTGAATACGGCCAGCCTCGGCTTCATCCTCCTCCTTGTACTTCTCAGCCTCGGAGAGCATGCGTTCGATCTCCTCCTTGGAGAGACGACCCTTGTCGTTGGAGATAGTGATCTTGTGGGTCTTTCCGGTACCCTTCTCGACAGCGGAGACGTTCATGATACCGTTGGCATCGAGATCGAAGGTAACCTCAATCTGGGGCACACCACGGGGGGCGGGGGGGGATGCCAGTGAGCTCGAACTTGCCAAGGAGGTTGTTGTCCTTGGTGCGGGCACGCTCACCCTCGAAGACCTGAATCAGGACACCGGGCTGGTTGTCAGAGTAGGTGGAGAAGGTCTCGGACTTCTTGGTGGGGATAGTGGTGTTGCGCTTAATAAGAGGAGTCATGACACCACCAGCGGTCTCAATACCGAGAGAGAGGGGAGCGACATCGAGAAGCAGGATCTCGTTGGTGGACTTAGAGGAAGTGTCGCCCGAGAGGATAGCGGCCTGGACAGCGGCACCGTAGGCGACGGCCTCATCGGGGTTGATGGACTTGTTAGCGTCCTTGTTGAAGAAGTCGGAGACGAGCTTCTGGATCTTAGGGATACGGGTAGAACCACCGACGAGGACGATCTCGTGGACGGAAGCCTTGTCGATCTTGGCGTCACGGAGGACACGCTCAACGGGCTCCATGGTACCGCGGAAGAGGTCCTGGCAGAGCTCCTCGAAACGGGCACGGGTGATGGAGGTATAGAAGTCAATACCCTCGAAGAGAGAGTCGATCTCGATAGAAGTCTGAGCAGCAGAAGACAGGGTACGCTTGGCACGCTCGCAAGCAGTGCGGAGACGGCGGAGAGCACGAGCGTTCGTGGTCAGGTCCTTCTTGTGCTTGCGCTTGAACTCGTTGACGAAGTGGTTGACCAGACGGTTGTCGAAGTCCTCACCACCAAGGTGAGTGTCACCAGCGGTAGCCTTGACCTCGAAGATACCCTCCTCAATGGTCAGAAGAGACACATCGAAGGTACCACCACCGAGATCGAAAATAAGGACGTTGCGCTCACCCTCCTGCTTCTTGTCAAGACCGTAGGCAATGGCAGCAGCGGTGGGCTCGTTAATGATACGGAGGACGTTAAGACCGGCAATAAGACCAGCGTCCTTGGTAGCCTGACGCTGGGAGTCGTTGAAGTAGGCAGGGACAGTGATGACAGCGTTGTTGACGGTGCCACCGAGGTAAGCCTCAGCGGTCTCACGCATCTTGGTGAGGATCATGGAGGAGATCTCCTCGGGAGTGAACTGCTTGGTCTCACCCTTGAACTCGACCTCGAGAATGGGCTTGGTGGCCTTTTCAACGACCTTGAAGGGCCAGTGCTTCATGTCAGCCTGAACCTCAGCGTCGTTAAAACGACGACCAATGAGACGCTTGGCATCGAAGACAGTGTTGTGAGGGTTCATAGCGACCTGGTTCTTGGCGGCGTCACCGATGAGACGCTCAGAGTCGGTGAAGGCAACGAACGATGGGGTAGTTCGGTTACCCTGGTCGTTGGCGATGATCTCAATGCGGTCATCACGGAACACACCCACACAGGAGTAGGTGGTACCCAAATCAATACCGACGGCGGGAGCCATTGTGAATGTGTGTTGTGAATGAAAGGAAATTCGTGGAGAAGTGGATAGGTAGTGTACAGAAGGGGAGGATAAAGGGATTATGGGTATCTGGAAAAGTGAAGAGAGAAAATGGAAGGATGTGGGCAGCGAAATACCACTATATAGTGAGCGGTGTATTGCTCAGAAGCTTCTAGCAGGCGACTTCCATGGAGGTCCACGGGTTTCCATGAGCTTCGATGCCCCAGCAACAGCCTGTCCGCGCCCCTTCTTGACAAGACCCGCTGCTTCTAGACAAGTCGAGTGGATACAAGCTGTCTCTACATGGTTCAGGATTGAACAGAGCTGCTCTGGATAGGGTACAATTCTTCATTCTGCGTTTGTTTGCAGAATAGTCGGTCCTTTTTTTTTTGGCGGGGCAGAGTGAATGATGTCAGCGACAGCGTTGCCGCTTTTCATTGTTACCGTGCGTACGGGCGGGGTACGTCTGACGCACCCTTAAGGCGGGTCTGGCGCCCGGCCAGTGCGTAATTGCAGTATTGTTACAGTCACGCTTCGTGGGCGTCATCATGAATTCATCCGGCCCGGCCACTCCACCGAATGGTTATGACTCTTCCATTGCCGCCCGAGCTTCTATTGTTGCCTAAGGTGTCAAGTATAGATAAGAATGAAGTAATAAGGCATTAAGGCAACAAGGCAACAAGGCGTGAAAATGACACCTTGTCATCGAGGCATTCAACGCCATTCAGCCACCCGGACTCGCCCATAAGCTTATAAGCTTATCTTGCTCATCGCACAGTACACTAAGATGGATGTTATCATCCGCCTGTACTAAATGGTATCACGCCGATCACGCTCGGTCTACTCCGCGAAATTAGTCGCTCCATTGTGGAATTACTGAATACTCAAAGTCTACTGATACCCAAAGTCCGACAATACTCTCGGTGGCAGTGCCCTGCCTTATTCCTGTTGATCGCCTGGCCATGGACTCAATAATTCAAATATAGAAAGAAAGATCAAGGGACAGAAGAAACGCAGATTCCATGACCGAGAAGCCTACCTCCCTCATTTGTAAGGACATGGCGTCCAGACCGTTTGAGATCGCAGACTCGACTTCGGACATGCCAATTCGCACAGGTTCCGTTGGAGCTAAAAGGAAAAAGACCCGTCAGGCCAACCCCATTTGGGACGACACTGATAACGCCATTCGCACTATGAATGACCGACCACTCAACTTCTATTGCATCTAAGCTATTTTGGCGCACGGCCAATGTAACTCACGGACATTAGCTTTGCGCCTTGGGCTGTCTACTCCAATCGGGATCCCGGAAGAGCTTTATCTGACGCGATCAGCGCTCAAGCTTGCGCTTCGCAGGACAAGTTCCGTTGCTGGCTCTTGGCTTGGCTCGCACGCCATGGAGAAACATGTACTCTCTGTGTGGGATCTGTGGGCTTTTCTTTTTCTTGTTTAAAAACAAAGCAAAAAGCAGACTCTCGCCCCTCGGTAGAAAATAAACAGTCCCTGGTTTTCTCCTGCGCCACTCATTAGGAGTCCCGCCATTGCAGAGATTACGGACGTCTACTGCAACTATGGCTCTCCTGGGAATGTTGAAGCGGCGCAAGGGTCCGCAGGAACGCCAAACCAGCAACTCCTCAGAGCGCACACCAGAAGGTCCCGTCAGTATGCCTTCAAACGAGGAAGAGGTCACCGACTCTGTGTTTCTTGATGAAGAGAAGTTGAAAGCCACCAGCGAGACGGTGGCGATCGAAGAGGAGAGTCATGAAGACCCAGAAATCGCCGCATTGCCTCTACAGGTGCGACAGCTGGTCAATTTGACCGATGACCCTACTTTGCCTACCATGACCTTCCGCTACTTTGTGCTTTCGGCCATCTTTGTCATCCCGGGTGCCTTCTTGTCCCAGATGAGCTACTTCCGAACAACCAGTGCAACTTACTCGGTCTTCTTCGTCCAAATTGCTTCTCACTATGCCGGGCACTTCCTCGCAAGGACACTGCCAACCTGGGTGATTCGTGTGCCTGGGACTACCTGGTCTTTCAGCCTAAACCCGGGGGCCTGGAGTATCAAAGAACATGTGCTGGTCACGGTGACGGCGGCCTCAGGAGCGACATATAACATGGGATATGCTCCGATTGTTTTGGCCGAGCTCTGGTATGGTCAAAGAATTCAGCCGGCCGTTGCAATCTTCTTCATGCTGGCCATTGTATGGACAGGGTATGCTTTCGCGGCTCTGGCTCGACAGATTCTCCTGCCCGACCCGGAATATATTTGGCCCCAGGCGTTGATGCAAACTACGCTCTTCGAAACATTCCGAAGGACGGACATATCCTCCCGTCTCGCACGTCGCCAGATGAAGGTGTTCTTTTTCTCCCTTCTAGGAATGACAATGTGGCAGTTTCTACCCGAATACGTGTTTCCGTTCACATCGTCACTGGCTTTTCTATGTTGGGTAGCGCCGCGAAACCCAGTTGCCAACTTCATCGGATCTGGTCTGGGAGGTATGGGCTTCCTCAATCTGTCCTTGGACTGGTCCAACATCAATTGGAATGGATCTTCCATCTTGCTCACCCCATGGTGGACCCAGGTCATTCTGTTCCTGGCCTTTGCTTTCAATTGTTGGATTCTGCTTCCTGCAGCGAAGTGGGGGAACCTCGGATCTTTCAAGCATGGTTTGATGTCTAATAATCTCTTGATGGCTAACGGCACGAAATACCCGATCACAGAGGTGCTTACCCCAGACTATCACCTCAACGAGACTGCCTTTCAGGAATATGGTCCAATGTACATGGGCTTGCAGAATGTGTGGGCAACCTTCTTCGATTATGCCAAGTTGCCGGCTGCGGTGATGTGGATTGCAACGTTTGGTTTCAGCCAAGTGAGGAGCAACCTCCAGAAGATTTTCTCTCGCAAGAAGAACGCAGATGTAGCGGGCCAGGGCATACACTACCAGTACAGCGATCGCCTCAACGTTATTCAGCGGCAGTACAAAGAGATCCCGATATGGTGGTACATTGCCCTGTTCCTGGTGGCGTTCGTCATCCTAATTACCAGCATTGCATGCGGATACCTCTTCATTCCTATTTGGACCTTGTTTGTAGCCTTTGCCAGTGCAGCGATATTTGTGATTCCCTTCGCTTGGTTATACGCCATCTCGAATTACCAGCTTGAGACTGGGTCGTTCAATGAGCTGATGTATGGCTATATGGTGCACACCAAAGCCGGTGAAAACCACCAGCACCCTTGTGGACCATCTGTCTATGGTGCTATTGCTGGTGATGCCTGGTATCGGGCGCAATACATGCTCCAGGACCAGAAGATTGGCCATTACATGCATATTCCTCCCCGGCAGGTATTTTTCTCCCAGATCTTTGGTACGCTCATGGGTGTTCCGATCAACTACGCTGTCATCCGCTGGGTCATGGACACCAAGGGCGATTATTTGACCGGGAAGAAGGCTGATCCACTTACCCAATGGACGGGCCAAAAGCTTGTCAGTTCCAACACGATGGGTGTACAGTATGCAGTTCTCGGTCCCAAGCGACTCTTTGCCGAAGCGGAGATGTCCCCACTTCCGTGGTCATTCCTCGTGGGAGCCGTCATTCCTCCCATCCTGTTCGTGTTCCACCGCTTCTTCCCAAAGCTGCGGATTGATCTGTGGAACGTCAGTATCTTCTTCGGTGGTCTAGCCATGTTCTATGGCAATGTCAGCACCGGATATACATCGGCGGTCATTGGTGCTTATATTTCAATGTACTGGGCTTACCGGCGCCACTTTGAAGTGTGGAAGCGCTATAATTACCTGGTGGCCGCGGCATTCGATGCAGGATTCAACCTAAACATGCTGCTCATATTTTTCTTCTTCGGGGCTGGCAAGCAGATCTCGATGCCAAAGTGGTGGGGCAACAACGCCGATTCGGTGGAACGGTGCTTTGCTGTGAGTAGTTAGTGGCGGGAAGGTCTGATTGAAACCCCCCGCAACGAACACGATTGCAAATAATGAACTTGGTTGACACTCTATTTCAAAGTACAATCTTCGTAGGAATCCGAGTCACTATGGTTCAATAAACTCTTACAACTTCCAAATCTCCCCCCAAAGGATGCCTCAGGGCTCGGTTCGTCACGCGGGTCCCCACCGCCATCTTCAGGGCGAATCACGTCACGGGATCGCGAGGTCCCTTACTGTTGCGGGCTGTTTTGGTTGGAGGAGCTACCTTACTTGCAGACCGTCTGTTTAATTTCCTCCTTCTTCCAATTCCACCCCTGCCATCTTCCAACCACAAAACGCATCAACATGGGTGATCACGCTTCCACTACCAGCCCTAACAAGTCCGCCATCGCGGACAAGGGCAAAGGCAAGGCCCAGGACCCCACCCAGGACCAGAACATGGAGTCCGAGAGCGAGTCCGAATCTGAACCCGAGCTGGTGAGTTTGCGCATCCATCCACATAACCATTGACCGAAGTAGCGACGCTGACCTGAGCCCATCTCCAGCCCGAAAACGGTACGAACGCCGCCCCGCGATCTTGTTCGCCGCCACACACACTCCGAGGCCAATGGCTTCTATTCACATACCCTCAGTCGAATTGACTCTATACTAACGTTCTTCCCAAATCCAGATGAGGATGATGACGATACTGGTGACCTCGAGCCGATCTCCCAAGAGAACATCATCTCCGGTGGCCGTCGCACGCGTGGCAAGCAGATCAATTGGGACAAGGTCAACGCAGACGCCATGGATGACGAGGAGGACGACGATGAGGACTACAAAGGCGCCGGTGATGATAACGACGACCAGATGCGCGACTAAGTGACCAGCCTTGATGAACACAGCTCAAGTGACAATTGGATCGCTTTGTGGATCGCCGCTACGGATTGGGGAAGCTTTTCTCTCATTTTCTCGAAACACAACATGTTCTATAGGTCACGCGATCAGGCGATGACAATGAATCAATGACGTTAAAATTCATGATCCTTTCTTTTTCATTTTCATCTCCGGTTACATGGGATGCCGAGCTATCTCCCAGTAGCTAAGACGTAAACAATACTCCGTAGTTCGAGCTTGGCGCTTTTGCATTGCAAGCTGCAACACCCGCCATACGCCCTGGCTGGATTCATATCGACAATATCCTTGTGCTCAGTTGATTTTGTTCCATTTGAATAATCCACTTGTTCCTCGATGTCTCTATATCCTTCTGAACATCGGTTGTTATCACGTGCGACCGCCTCGGGCGAGAACAACAACGCATTGGCCACCTTGTGTTTTTGCCCTCCGCATCCAAGTCAACTACTCAACCGTGATGATCATGAACTCCAGCTCCCACAATCAGCAATGCTCCTGAAAGCTCATTAACTGCTGCCCTTATTCCTGCTGAAACGACTCATACCTTAGCCTCGGTCCGTTCCGAATCAAATTCAAACGACCATTATGGCTTCACGGTATAGTCCCCGGCCCTCCTTTTCTTGCGGTCCTTTTCCAGGTCGTCTTGTAAACGGAGCTTGACGCTAATAATTCGTCAAATAGATTTCCACGTCAACGCGATCCCCGCACTTCATCTTCCCTGTTCGATTCATACGGTGGCAACTCTCGCCCGGCCAGCAGATCACCGGCTCCGTCTGGTGGATATGGATACGGAGGCTATTCCAGCCCAGCAAGTAGCTATCCAAACGGCGGTGGCGCAAATGCCTCATTCAGGAGCGCGACCCCGGATAAGAAGTATGTCGAAGTTTCCCCCGCTCGACTCATTATAACAACCGAGCCTAACCTCGATCTACAGAGGCCACTACTCCGACGCAGTTCTCTCGTCTCTCGAATCACAAAATGACTCAGAAGTGGAAGGCATCACCGCTAAGGTGAAGATGCTGAAGGATGTAAGCAATTCCCCATTCTGAATACGGAGGTATCTCAAGCGCAACCGCTGACAACAATTGCCAGCTCTCGATTGCCATCGGCGACGAGATCCGCGATACTAGCTATCTAGAGGGACTTGAAAGTTCATTTGAAAACACTCGAGTCCGAATCCGCGGAAACATGACCCGCATGATGCGCATGGCTGACAGTACCGGTGTCGGCTGGAAAGTGTGGCTTGGGTTCTTCTTCGCCGTCTTCCTCTTATTCTTCTACGTGTGGATATTCTAGCGTCCGGCTGCGCTCATCTGTCTTCTTCTGACACGATCTCATTCCACGCTCTACTCGATAATTTCGCTGTCCTGAGTCTCTTTGTTGACGGGCGTGCATACTTGATCTTATGATTTACTAGCATTGCTTTCGACCGCGGTGTTTTGGAGTTTCTGTTTCTTGGGTTCATGGTCGATCTCTATTTCATGCCATTTGGTATCGCCGATGGTGTCTACATACTATCTTAACCTCATGTTGAAGGCCTTGGGAATGATGCGCTTTCTAGCCCTTCCAGGCAATGCTTCCAGTTTCTTGTGATAAGGGGGAGTCCTTGATCGCCAGTCTTTTCTGGCAGAACTCCTCAGCCCTGGTACGTGATTTTTTATGTTCGTCAATGATGAATAAGTACACAGTACATAATGCAAAGAACGCCTTTCACGGCTCGTTTGTCAATAAATTCAAGGATCGTTGTTTTTAAGTAACAAGCAGGTCTTGTGACTGAGATACAAAAGAGGTATCTTTGCCGTAGCGAGTGTTGTGGATAACACCGTAGATCACATAAGTTCAGGACTCCTGATCCCTACGCCGATGATAATGCAAATTGCTGAGGCATACATGCCGCCAACAGCCAAAGTCGAGCTCAATTGATACTGTCTCGAGGCCCACCCACTCGTCGAGGGAATCGCCGAGCAAACCCACTGCGGCGACTAGTCTGACTCGTCACCGACGCACGCAACTCATCCGCCTCAAGCATGATACTGCTCGAATCAAAAGCGTCACCGCCCCCACTCCATCGAGACAGAAATCGCGATTGAGCCTCCGTCTCACGTCCAGGTCTCAACGGCGGAGGCGGAGGCAACCCGCCCCGACTATTAGGCGTACTGGTCCTGAAATGCTCCGAGGGACGGGCACTAACGCTATCATTATCATCATCAGCCTCCTCCTCTTCATCCTCATCCAACTCATCCTCCGTATCCGTATGCTGCCAACTCCCCTCCTGTTCCGACCCATCCTCCGCAGCGTCAGGAACATCATCATCTAGATCCCTCTCCATACCATCACTCAAGCCCTCAGCAACAGGAACATCAGCATCTAAATCCCGCTGATCGTCGAAATCCTCATACTCTTCATAGTCATCCTCAGGATACCCCTCGGGAATATCATCATCCAAGTCCCTTTCCATATACCCTTCCTCATCAACGATTTCATCCTCCTCCAGTCCCTCCTCACCCTCCTCAACCAGCCCTTCTCCCTCCTCTTCCGCATCAGGGATTTCATCATCCAAGTCCCGATCCATTCCCTCCTCGCGCATCCTCGTATCATCATCCATGATCCCCTCCCCCTCAACGGCATTCATCTCAGCCTGCTGTGCAGCCATCGCCTCTTCGCGCTCGGCTTCTTCCTCTTTCATGCCTAGCATTGTCTTTGCGCAGCCGGCAGGGCGGATCCAGGAGTATCCAAACGAAGCAATGTTTAGTTTGCGAGCGCGCAGGGCGCGTTCTTCAACTTGAAGGGCGGAGAGAGAGTTTGCGGGGGAGCGGGAGGGCATGAATGCGCGGTGGGTTGGATTTGCATTTCGGCGGTTTGGGTCGTTTGGATTTTGTGGTGGTGAGGCTGATCGGTATGGTTGAGAACCGCCGAACCAGAGCTCGTGGGACTGGCAGTGTTGTTAGATTGGTAGGTGAGGTTGTGAGGGGCTGCACTTACGTCGCGGGGAGTAATAAGGGGTAGGGAGAGCATTGTTGCAATTGTGTAGCTTTGATTTGATACAGATAAGTTGTATTTGTATGCCTCGGGGTGGATTGACGAAGTATTCGTTGATGTGGTGTTGCGACGTGCTTGTTGTCGAGGCTGCGGTGAAAGCGCTACGTGGTTCAGGCGCGATAGGTTGACTGTCGGGTGATCAAAGTCGCATGAACGTTATCACACACGGCCTTTTCCCGGCAGGTAAGTATCGTCGGGGGATTGTAAAGTCAGAACGGGAGGTGCGCGGTGAAGTGATCATCGATGAGAAGCTAGGGCAGACAAAAAAGTCGCGGCTCCACCGCAAACCACAACATCGGCGCAATTGCGGGGAGCTTGTGCATGCGACCATCCATGGTCTAAACATTCGAGCCTCTTGGCCAGAATATTTTTCATGTTCTGGAGACCTTGGGTGCTCGCTGGTCGGAACTTGAAAAAAGCATTCAAAATATTCAATCCATGTCACTCTTCATCTAGACTGTCCGGGTTCTATCGTATATATATATTAAATGTACATAATATATGCGCAATGACATGTCACGTTACTTCCGCCTTTTCAATTAAACTGCCTTGACTGCAATTGATAAATGAGAAAATATAGCGTCTACAGCGTCAATTTTCCAATAACGGAATGATCATACAGACAACATATACTTATGCAAGGTGTTCATTCTTTCATTGTTCTTGCGATGATGAGGATGATTGTCGAGTTAGGCGTGCGGCCTCCTTCACAACTAGATCAGGTAGAGTTTTTACCAGACGTATACCTAATGAAGTATGTGACCATCAAATCCTTTTTTTTTTTCCAATCTTGCTCCTGCCCCTGTGGTGGCTTAGATGCTACATATTACGTTGAATACTCCAAAGTATGCCAAGCACTCATTTGGCAAGCTTGCAAGCGCCAAGAGCACGATGCAATATAAAGCCAATTATTGCAAGGATACCACAGAAGCTTTTCGCGTAAGAAGCTTTGGTTCGACTCTGGACAGAGGTCATCGCGAGATGCCGCGCTAGTGATAACAAGATTAGTGATGGAGTGGTCACGGTCTCGAGGTTCCCGAATATTCGCTGACGGAGGAGTTTCACCCGCCCAATTTATCAGGTCCCAGCAACGAAAGCTCGGCTGCGCGTGTAGAGTACAGAGTACAACATACGTTGTTACAAGGTGGTACAGAGTGCAAGTGCTGGCAACCCGAGTTCACCCGAGGCTGCCGATGCTCCGCCCTGACTTTCCACCAGCACTCCGGTGAACCCAAAGCAGGCAAGGGTCGAGGAGAGCGGGAAAAGCCGGAGTGGAGTGGACGCAAGCTGAGAAGCCATGGCGCACGCACCACAGTCTCTTATATTCACTTGAAATCCCATTGGGTGCGCGGCGGAGATCATGTGATACCCACAGTGGATCCGGGGGTTGCTGATGTATATCGTGCAGGGAGCGGGCCCGAAAAAAAAGCAAAGACAACGAAGAGAGGCGGCATTGTGACCCGAGGCTGATGCTGATGCATGGCCTGATCAGCGTGAGTCATGTAGCCACCGTACTAGGCGAAAAGGGGAGATGAGATCCTACCCTCCACCTGGCTCGGAAACGAGGTGAGATTTCATCTTATGTGTTTTAATTATCAAGGTCGAGCTTATCATTATCAGGACATCCCGCTTCACGTGTCCAAGTTCGTTCCCGGAAAACATCCCACTCGGAGGAAAGAGCCGGAGCCGGACGTACATTTGCTACGATCTCAGGCCCATTCCAAACGGGACGTGGAGAGCGCTGGGGGGGACTGGGGTCCGGGGATGCTTTTCTGGAGGTCTGGGGGAAACATAGCACGAGTGACGAGTGAGGGCGCAGACAATTCCCAGGAAGCCGCGATAAGCAGATCATGACCTCAAGGAATGAGCTGATGAGCTGGGGGACAGGGACAGAACCAATCCGCATTCACGGCTGGCATACCGGGCGGCTGGGGGAGCCCGATTTCGGGGCAGCGACATAGTTCCGAAGAGGGCAGATTTCCATACCGGACGCAGAGGGAGAGCGAGATCCCGGCGCTTGGCCGTTGTCGGAAACCAGATTACCGTTCCAGACGGGGTATTCTAAAGGGCATCTTAAAGGGAAGGGGTGGCGTGGTCGGGGATCTGAGCCTCGGTGGAGCCTCTATAGTATACTGTAGTATTCCAAGTAGTATGTAACTTACAAGTCGTCACCACAGCGCAGCGAGCACTCTCGTCATGATCCTACAATATAACCCCGTCTTGGTACCTGCCAAGTCTTGGAGAGTACAGAGCACAGCCTAGGATCCTGCATAGTGCAGCAAAAGATGCAGGATACAGGACCGAAAGGGGAGAGACAGAGAGGGAGAGGAGCGGATTGACTGGATCGTAAGCATCCTGCCCCACCACGTCGGGTCTGGTGTACTGTAGTGCCGAGCCCACATGTAAGGATGCCTCCAGCTCCCCTTCTCGGGCGGGTTCTGGTCTGTTTGCGGCCAATGGCTTCCTGGTCCACCACTCCACCACCTAAACTACTTTCGCGGTTCGAGGGGGAGGCAGAAAGGCAAATCAGATCTGAATTGAACCAGGGTATATATTCCTGAAGATCGGTAGGAATTCATAGGGCAGCGCATTGCACAAAGTACTTGAGATCGCGGTCACGATACGTGACAATACATGTACATCTCCGCTCCACCGGCGAGGATCTTGACGTAGCAGAAACCTAATCGTTTTGGCTCAGAAGTGGTAAAACACTCGTTTTGATTGGCTAGCTTACGCTTATCGCAGTGGTTTGCGCTCCGTAATCATAATGATTATCATTACTCGACCCATCATTGCTCTAAACCGGGAGCTCTCTCCAACGTCCATATGGAATGCTTCTCCCCCTTCTTGGCTGCTTTCGTCTTTGCAGTCCCCTTAGCCCACGGGGTTTGTGATGATCGTAATATAATCTCTTCTTTGTATCGGACATCTGAACTAGTATCTGGAAACATTTCGATTTCGTCTTTCAAAAGGCTTTACCTGTCTGCCTTCAGCAATTTTGCCACGGCGCAAACTCCACGGCCGTAATTTACCCGTTTCCCACTCTTGGGGAAACGTGTCGGAGCAGAGTACAATCCCCGGACGTACTGTCCCGCCGTAATCGCTGCCCTCTCTTTTTTATCCCACCCCTCCTTCGCCTTCCTCCTGTCCTTCCTTTTTCCTCCTCATCATCCATCTTCCTCCTCGTCGCAGCTGGGGCTTCATCACTTTGACCACTCCCCCTCTTCACCCGCGCTGCGTCAGTGACGACATTGCCGCTCTATCGATAGTCCCGCCCCAAAATCGGCGATCTCCCACACCAAAAAGAACCACCTCAACCCTCGTGTCCATTCTCTGTCGGTCCCCGGCGGAAGAATGGGTCTTAACTTGGAGGAACTCTATGGCAATGATCTAAATGAAGAGGCTCCGCAGGAGTATTCGGAGTTCCAGCCGAAAACTGGTTATGGCTGGGCCAATGCTCTGCCGGAGAAGCAGGGTCTGTACGACCCCGAATACGAAAAGGATGCCTGTGGTGTCGGTTTCGCTGCGTGAGTGATCGTGGACTCTACTACCGAGCCATTGACCGACCGACTAACCTGACATTCTCTATCTAGCCACATCAAGGGCAAGCCGAGCCACAAGATCGTGAGTGATGGTAAGTCTCTTTCTCCCAAAAAAAAAAAATAAAAAAGAAAATGAAATACTCGAGCCATGGAAACAAGGAAGTATGCGCTGACGTCGATGTGGTTTAGCTCGCAATCTGTTGTGCAACATGACCCACCGTGGAGCCGTTGGCTCGGACGCTCGAGACGGTGACGGTGCCGGTGTGATGACCAGCATCCCTCACAAGTTTTTCGTGAAGAACTTCGCCCGTGAAGCCGGCGTGGAACTTCCTCCGCTGGGTCAGTATGCCGTTGGTAATTTGTTCTTCAAGCCCGATGAGGAGGCACTTAAGCTATCCATCGCTAGCTTTGAGGATCTTGCCACCTCTCTGGGCCTGCGTGTCTTGGGATGGCGTGAGGTGCCTCGCGACTCGACTATCTTGGGTCCTGCTGCGCTCTCGCGTGAGCCGATTATCATGCAGCCTTTTGTTGTGCTGAGATCTGCCTATGGCGAGGGTAACAAGCCCGAGATTACCGAGACCGACAAGTTTGACGAGCGTACTTTTGAGATCCAGCTGTACATTTTACGAAAGCGCGCCACCCATGTTATTGGTATGGGTAATTGGTTCTACTTATGCTCGCTCAGCAACCGGAACATCGTCTACAAAGGACAACTCTCTCCCGTTCAGGTCTACACATACTACCATGATCTGGTCAACGTCGACTATGAGGGCCATTTTGCTCTCGTCCACTCCCGATTTTCTACAAACACATTTCCTTCTTGGGACCGAGCCCAGCCTTTGCGGTGGGCTGCTCACAACGGTGAAATTAACACACTGCGAGGAAACAAGAACTGGATGCGTGCCCGTGAGGGTGTCCTTCGTTCCGAGGTGTTCGGCAGTGAGCTTGACTCGCTGTATCCGATTGTGGAGGACGGCGGCTCCGACTCCGCTGCATTTGATAATGTGCTCGAGCTTCTTATGATTAACGGTGTTTTGTCTCTACCCGAGGCTGTTATGATCATGGTCCCCGAGGCTTGGCAGGACAACCCAGCCATGGACCCCAAGAAATCTGCTTTCTATGAGTGGGCTGCTTGCCAAATGGAGCCCTGGGACGGCCCAGCTCTGTTCACTTTCTCCGACGGCCGTTACTGCGGTGCTAACCTTGACCGTAACGGTCTGCGCCCTTGCCGTTTCTACGTCATGGACGATGACCGTATTGTCTGCGCCTCTGAGGTTGGTGCCATCGACATTGATCCCGAGCGTGTGGTTCAGAAGGGACGTCTGCAGCCTGGAAAGATGCTTTTGGTCGATACCGTTGCCGGACGCATCATTGACGACTCCGAATTGAAGAGGACCGTCGCCAACCGTCAGGACTTCGCCAGCTGGCTGGACA